TGATAATTATGCAATCAGTTCATTATGTACTTAAAAGTAGCCTTAATACTGCCTGGTTGGGGCTAAGAATGCGTAAATACTTGCGCGGCATGCAATTTATGGCAACCACGACGTGTCGTATTTTGACCCGAAAATTTTTGGGCCTTAAAATGATTCCAAAATTCTTTACGTATATTATCATGAATATTAGTGTGCAAAAAAGTTGCTACTAAAAATATTTGTAAAACGTGGGTTAACGTGACTCACGTTATCACGGATGGTGCATAATGATCTTTACATAAGGAAAGTTAGACGCCGCGGTTGGCACCGTCTGCATGTCCTTACCGTCAACGCCTCAATGTAATGGAAAAAGTGGGGAATTCACCCGAAATTGAGAAATTTGGGACGGTGGCGGGCTTGAAATGCACATTGTGCAAAATATACGTCCACGTACACATATACTACACTGCCACCGCAACCGCCCCAATGTTATATATATAATAAACGCTCCAACCGTATAAAAAGTAGCCTCAGTTTCTTTGTAAAGTGGGCATTGTGTAAAAATTTGTTTGCTATATCACTAGACATCATGTCATGGATACCATGTGACAAAATTATTTGGATAAACTCCTTACCCGACACAATTGCAGCCTCAAAGGCTACCAAAGTGTGGATCATTTGACACTGACTCCTCCCGTACTCCAGGTTGTAATCCCATCGGAGTATTAACCCGTTCAAGAAAAGTATGAAGAATGCGAAACCTTGCAATTTTTGAAAAATCGTTATCGGGCCGAAACATAGGTTGAGACCGAGCAGTGTGCAATACACGAGTGACAGGAGGCTTTGCCGTCTATACGACGAGATGTAGCGAGGCGAGCTACACGTAATAAATCGACCAGATTTCGGATTGAACTCAAAGTTTACGCACTTGAAGTACTTAAAAATTCGTAGTCGAAATTCCAAAAGAGGAATAAATTCGGTTCGATACATTGTTATTTCTTTAGAAAAACTTGCCCCACGTTGTAACTTTACTTAAAAGTTACCAGCTACACGGATAAATCCGAAGAGCTGCATGGCGCAATTCCGTCATTCCAGTATGAGTGAGTTATTTGAATTATTAAAATATTTAGCTCCCGTAGCGGCAGATTTTTTTCAGAACGACCCATTTCTTGTATTTCCACGATGAAATACTCATTCTTGATGGTTGATTAGTTGGACTCGTAGTCTGAATATTTTTTGTTTGTTGAGTGAGGTTATCACCCATGGATAAATTATAGGTTTTTGTTAGAAATGTTGACGTACAATTGAATAAAATGGACATGAAGCTATTAGATATGTTCGTAGGTGGTACATAAATATAAGTAAATACACTGTGGTACAAAGTTTATCGTCTGTGACAGTTCAAGAGAGCTGTCAAATATTCACGAACCCATCTAAATACATATGCGTGCTACTTCTTGGATGACGTATCCGTAGTATTGATTCTACGTAGTATCTATGGTCCGTGTATGTATCTGTATTTAACAAAAACCCAATTTCCATAAAAAACTGATGTGTCTGCATAATTTTTATGCCCAAACCATAGATTGGTACAATTGCGTTTGACCAAATTTGAGCCCCAACTTGGAAATCTGGCAAATCAAATTTGGTCCATGGACCAAATAGGGCTGAATCAAATCACTTTAGGGATTTAGTACACTCATGGGGTACAACAATATCGGTCATGTGATTGACCGGTCGTGGGGGTCATTTAGGTTGGTGTTTTTTTTGCACCAAGATTTCAAAATTACTAAAAAAGTGTTAATAGTGTTAGACAAATAGCTAATAGTGTTAGAAGGCTGAAATTTGCCACACCTGTCCCTAATGTCTTCTAATGAAAAATTGCGAAGTAAAATTGTAAAAAAATAACCCAGAGGTACCCATAATAGCCAGTTGATGCAATCATTTATCAGACGTTCGATAGTTTTTTGGTTTATTTAAATTAATGTAAGGTTTAAATTTTACTGTCGCTTCGATGGGGACTACGAGATTTGGTACATGTATGCACCGTCACAACCAGGGTTCGGAAAAACCCAGGGTTTTAATCATAAATTATAAAACCCACGGGTTTTAATGGGTTTTACCATACTAATTGGGTTTTATTTGGGTTTTAATGGGTTTTATTGGGTTTAAATGGGTTTTATTATTTTTAAGTAATAACTTAACAAAAATAATTCGGAATTTGTATCTATTCGAAAATTATTTTTGTTTTATAACTCTTGAAATCTGTGATGCTAAAGGATGGAGTCAATTGTTGATTTGTTCCGAATTTTCATACATTAGAATAGTAATGAAATAAACTGCTTTAGAATGAATTGAGATAACGTCTTCTAACGTATAGGAGATGTATTCAACTTTTAGGATGTAGTTTTAAGGTACAACTCAATTAAAACCCAATAAAACCCATTAAAACCCAAATAAAACCCACTTAACATGGTAAAACCCAGTGGGTTTTATTCATTTACAACCCATTAAAACCCATTAAAACCCAATAAAACCCAACCCATTAAAACCCAGGTCGGAATACCCTGGTCACAACCAACGACCCTTTTAAGGGCCACCACATATTACGCAAATTGTCCAAAAGTCGATTATTAAGGGGTGAAAACCCCTTTATGGAAATGTCTTCTCCGTCCGCCCGCCCGTCTGTCCGTCTGTATCCACGATAACTTTAGAATGGTTTCGTATTTCGGCATGCGGTTTTCGTCAACGTGTTTCTAATTTTTGAAGTATGGATGAGTTCGAAGATGGGCGTCGTAGGTGATAAGGTCACGGCGCCACGGTGATGAGATAAACGGTCAAATGTGTCGAATTTTTTGTTTCGACCATTTTAGACGTATTTTTTGGCGGGGATTTCAGAAATCGCCATCATTTCGACGTGCGACGACCCCATGACCGTGTGGGAGGTGTCGAATGTCGAAAAAATGACTTTTGTCATGTGGGGTGCCTATTGAAAGGTATTGTTGTGTACGTTTGAAGTACGCGGGTGGGGGTGTCAAAACGGGGCAAAATGAGACGTGGGGTCATGTGAGACAATGACGGAAAAGTGCAGAAAGACGTTGTGGGCGTGCCACAAAGACAATTCCGTGTGTTTTCACCCCTTTGCTACATTTGGTTTGCAACGGTTTATTTATCATACAAATATTTCCCATACCTAAAATTCTGCATACCAAAGTATACTGTTACCCATATTTCCGAGACCAAAATTTCTGTAGACCCATATTTCGGAGACCAATATTTCCTCATAGCAAAAATTTCGGGCATCCATTTCTTGCGTTTCTGCATTTCTTGCGGGTAAAAATTCCTGCAAGAAACCACTTTCTTGCTTTTTCTTGCAGCTGGTTACTTGCACCCGAAACACTGCTTACTTCATGCGTATGATACATCTGTAGTTGCATAATGACACAAAAATTTGGCTTATTTTAGACCATAAATCATACAAGTTTTTATTGCACTTGCATGTTTCTTATGTTACAGAAATTAATCAAGGTTCATAGCGTTCAGGGCTACATGAAATCCTCCAAAAATTGAGGACATTCCTATCACTGCCCTCAGTACCACTGGCATATATCCACGAAAGAATCCAGGAAGTCCTTCATTTTTAAATATCGCTGTTATTATATAGTTCTATTAGTTTTGGGATGGGATCCAACAGAAGGTGCTACAAGTGTTTATTTATTAAGGGGTGAAAGCCCTATATAAGATCGTTATGTCCGTCTGTCTGTCTGCCCGTCCGTCCGTCCGTCTGTCTGTCCGTAGCTCCGATAACTTTTGAACGGAATGACATAGAGACTTGAAATTTTTAACGTTAACTCCTAACGTCAAGGGACAGGACGAGTTCGAAGATGGACACTGTGACATCGTCACAGTGACGAAAAGTGACGAAAAAGTGTCACGTGTCACTTTTGGCATGTGACACATCATTTCTAACTATTTTTCGATGAGGAATTCGAAAATTCGTGTCATTTTGCGATTGGACGTCACCTGTGACGATGACGTCGTCACAGTGACGGAAAGTGACGAAAAAGTGGCACGTGTCAGTTTTGACATGTGACACATCATTGTTAACTATTTTTCAACGTCGAATTCAATGGTGACCTCCATTTTGACCTCAGAGGTCATCTAATGGTCATAGGGCATATCTATGTCAATTTAACAGGAAATTTAACCCCGAATTTTATGGTGACCTTCATTTTGACCTCAAAGGTCATATAAGGGTTATCAACCGTTAAATTTGACATATCTGGGACGTAAACGTCGAAAACACGTCAGAAGTGTCAATTTTAACCAATTTTTGAACATAATATGATATTTACTTCGACGTATGACGCACTTCTTTCACCCCTTGGTTACATGCGTTGTAACGGTTTATTAAAGATGTATCAGACCTTAGCTTGAAACTCTAGTTATTTTCCTACCCGTTTGTATAATAGTTTTCACCACATCAATCGGTAAAATTGCAGTCCACACTACCACCCCTGTAAACATTCCCCCAAGGAATGCTCTGTCTTTACTAATTTTTCCGTTTTCGAGTGTGATATAATAGTTAATCATGCGAATTGTAGGAAAATAAATGGCGACCTGAAAGAGCCCTATGGAATTTTTAAACCAATTTATAACCTCAACTAAAGTATTATTCAATTCACTAACAATGCGAGTGCAAGAAGTGTTGCACGAAGATCTTTTTAGGACCACCGCAGTTTGGCAGATAAACTCATCACAAACAACGTTTGGCGCGGCACATGGGCAGATGCGCAAAATCCGGCGACTTCTGGACACTGCAAGTTCGCGAAAACGATCGAATCTTAAAGTGGAAACAGGGCTGTGGTCAGATTTGGCTATGAAAATCGTGCTTTTTGACATACTTTCGTCGAAAATATAACATAACTTACGCCCATAATTCATCTAATTTTGCGCATCCTGCCCAAGTGCCGCACTAAATGTTGTTTATGTACAGATAGAATTTGTCTCTAACACTGCGGTGGTCATAAATTGATCTGGATTTATTAGCGGATCGATGTTATCTATTTGCATTATACATTCTTTATTTAGTGATTAGGTTTTATAGAATTGGAAATATTTATAATTCAATCCAAGCCTTGTAATTTTCTAAAAATATATTCTACACAAGTTGTATTGCACATCCTTAACTCGAAATAGAATAGGTTTAGGAATTTCTTATTTACAAAAATTATATTTGACAAACATCCTCGAAAAGTAGGAGATACTTGATTTGATTTATTACACCAAACTTACCTTACTTAAGAATTTGGCGTCACGCCTTGTCGCCAATTATGAGTTTTACACGGAAATATGAATGAATCCTTGATCTAGAGCGATAGTATATTTTAAAAACCATAGTGAGTACCCTGGGGGCGATGAGCAGTAGGGAACCCCTCCTTGTTAATGGAATTCATACTATTCAAATTTGATGCTAAGAAAAATGCCTTAAAATATCGAAAATTGTCCTCCACGTAGCGTTACTTTGGGACGTATGTACAATCAAGTCTTCCTGCCAAATCATTCAACCTTATTAAAGGCCTCAATAACCCAATCTGAATTGGTAAGGAATCCAAAACTGCCTTTAACATTGTAGAATGTGGCATCAGCACAGTAATCTGGTGACGTCGTCGCGACGCAATCCTTCACCATGATGCAGCCATATCCCAGGAAATTGGCGTCGGCCAAAGTGTGGAGAACACATTCTGAAATGAAATGAGAGGAATAAAGAAAGCCGTAAGTTACAAATAATTACACCCACCACCGCCCACCCATCCACTTGAGTATTGTGTTTGTATCAGTGCAAGATTTTCTATTAATTGCAAAAAAAATCTGCAAAACACTGGCGAAAGTACAAATTTGTGCCCTCTAGCCAGATCGGTGGGGGGCCCCTTGTTCATAACTGATTTTCAGAGATTTAAAAAAACGATTTTTTTAATTTTCAGAGCTCGGGATTTCATACTCCTTATAAATATATGTTTTTTAAGAGTAGTAGCTTGTGCTACTTTAGCAAACAAAACCCAACACACATTCTAAAAATTACAGCATTTTGACGTTATCCGGGTGGAATTTTGATTATAGTTTGGTATGCTTTACCAAAATCGGAAAAACGGAAATACCATATTATATTACTCAGAATTTAAAAAAATACAGGAAATTAATTGGAATTTTTACTCCGGCCGGGGCCGGGGGCCCCACGGACGCGTGGGCTCCTATGTAACGCTTACCCTTACCCTGGCTACCCCTAGTTCCGCCAGTGCTTAAAAATCAGCAATTTCTTACATGCAAGAATTGAGATTTTTTAATTTAGAAACTTTCATAAGGAAATTGGAAAAAGGTATATTAAAAACCATGCCCATTGGGATTGAGTTGGTGGACATATGTATGCATGTAAGGGCATGATTTGTAATGTACCTTTTTCCAATTTCCTTATGAAAATTGTGTAGCTTCTAGAGTTTTTAAAAAATGTAGCCTACGCTTAAACTTTTTAAATTCAGAATTCCCAATTTTTGCATGTTGTTGTAAGAAACTGTTGATTTTGCAGATCTTGTATTTTTGCGAAAAATAGAAAATCTTATACGGATACAAATATAAGACTAATCACGAGACTGATGCAAGACTGATGACAAATATACTTACGATCCGTATTAACCCCAGCAAAAAGGATATTCCGGATTCCAAAATTTTTCAAAATCGAGTCCAGCGGAGTGTCCCAGAATCCACTGAATCTGTGCTTATCCACTAATATGTCTTCCTGGTTTTGTTCTACTTTGAGCCCCTCCACGACCTCCGAACCCCATGAAGCTTTCTCTAAATAGATAGATTTCTTACAATGAAACCCAAACGAGTGGAACGTTACATCATAAGATGAATAAACAATTATGAATCCACTCAGCGAGGAAATGTGGCTTCAATTCTTGGCACTCTCCCTGAAGGAAAAGAGTTGGAGGAAATCTACTATTTTTTCTAATCTCTTAGTTTTTTTTCTCTATTAGGTTAGGTTTTACTATTTGATTAGGTTAGGGATTCATTGTGTGCGACTCCTGTGTAGTCAGGTTTTCGACGAATTTTTTATCCCGAACCAGGGCTTATGTAATTCTCATGTCCGTCTGTCTATCTGTCTGTCTGTCTGTCTGTCTTTCGATAATTCTCGAACGAGTTGACCGATTGACTTGAAATTTTTATCAGATGTATATTGGACAAAGTTAGGAAACGAGTTTGAAGATGGGTGAAATCGGTCAAGTGGTTGACCCGTAAGGGTCATCGGAGTGGGTGGGGTATTATGCACCAAAATTTCAAAATTGTCGTAGAAAGCTGAAATTTGGCATAGGGCTTGTTAATGGCTTCTAGTATATGAATTCAAATTGGAAAAATTTTCGTCTGAAGCGACCCGAGGGGGTGACCCATACTGATTTTTCAAAATCGTCATATCAAGCCAAAATTTTGCATGAAAGTTGCTTATGGCTCCTAATGGAAGATTATGAGTTGAAATTTAAAAAATTTCATCCCGAGGGACCCTATGGGGAGACCCCCACCGATTTTCATACATTAACTTGGAAAGCTGAAATTTGGAACGTTGGTCCTTGGTGCCTTTTCATGAAAAAATATCAAGTAAAATATGAACAAAAATTAACCAGAGGGGCACTAGGGGGTGACCCATATCGACTTTTGATATAATCAGTTGAAATTTAGAATGGAGTCGAAAAATAATTGACAAACATGGGTTTACTAATCAGTCCTGGTTCGGGCTAAGTAAAGCAGTTCTGATAGGTTATTGTAACTTTTAAATACTTGAACTCTGCGATACGCTATTTCACTATTCCCCGTACTGATGATTACATAAATTTTGAATAAATTTTTTGACTACAATCAATTCAAAGATTTGTTTCATTTTTTAATTATGACTTGATGAACAGAATGATTTATTTTTAGAAAAACGTATTACCTAGAATGGGCGACCCTTGCTTATTTAAATCCCCATAGCCCAATCCACTTCCATTTCCCACGTTGTACGAGGTCCACATTTGATTCGGATACATGTTTGCGAGGTCCTTTCTATTTCCCCAATTCACCCAGATTATCTTTACCCCTTTCCGTCTTAAATCGGGGATAAGCCGTTTCAAGGGGGGGATTGGGGCACGATCTTTCTCCCAGTCCAAACCCAAGCTGTCGAGCCAACCCCCCTTTTCGCAGAAATCATTCTGCATATCAATCACAACCAGGGCGGTCTCATGTACGTTCACTTTGACAGATTTTAATTCCGTTCGAATCGTAACTGGAATAGGAGTGAGTTCTTGTGGGAGGGAAAGGTCAACCAGTTCCGCGTCCTCTGTCCAGTGATAATTGGTTCCATGTCCCAACCTCCTTGTCCCCATCTGAAAGGTACAAACACAAGTAAATATTTATATCATGAACCATCTGTTTATTAGCAATGTTTGTTAGTATGATTTGTACGTGTGCAAAATTTCATGTTAATGAGAAAAAGTTTGAAATGAGTTATCGTTCGACAGACTGACTGACATAACTGCCTAGGGTCGAGTTAAAAATGATTTTCAATGAGTATGGTAGCTTTTGCCGGGGAAATAAATTTAGACAAATTTATGTCTCGCCGATTGGTTTGGCCAAATTTCTGATTGTTACAGGCAATTTACATGTATAATTAGCCAACCGAAAATTTAAAGTGTTGGGAAATATGTAAGATTGCTTCTGAAAGACACCTTAAACCAATAGAAATTGAAATTGTTTCGTTTTGTGCTACATCCTGGATTACCTGGTTGTTTTGGTTTAATTGTGGTATCGCTCGATGTATTTAATATCCAGTCCGTCTGTGCATGTCAAATGTCGGTCCGTCCGTCCTTCAGTTATTGAGGGAATGGAACGAATGAGTGAATGAGAAAATTATCAGGTGGCTTTGCATGCATATCGAGAAAATAATTAATACACGGTTCGTCTTCAACCTTGAATTTCTGGAGCTGCACAAGCTGAGTTGGGTCGGTTTGGCTCGAGTTGAATGGGATAATGGTGATATATATGGAATTCAGTTCGTTCAGGCAAATCCAGGTTTTGCCTGTTGTTTTTTATGCATGTACAGCACAACGGGCTATTGTATGCACAATACAGCAATGCATGGGATTGAGTTGTGATGAAGGAAAAGGAAAAATAGTAAATTATGGAGAATTTAGTTGCTAGATACGATAAACGAGAAAAAATCCTAAAAAATGGGAAATCTTTGCTACGCTTTGGTGCAATTGCGATATTTAATTTTTGTATTAGATAATAGTGAGTTTTTTATTCGAGTATACTTGTCTCGACTCGACTTCTTATCATGTAAAGTTACAAAGATTATGCTTGTTAGCCTCTTTCATGACGCATTTCATACAATAAAATTATACCAGCAAACTCAAAAGAAAAGACATTGGCGAACAACATATTCCCAGTGCAGACTGCAGACGTACAAAATTAACGTATTTTTGCGCCGACAAACCGCTTATTGAGATAACCTCTTACCTCAGAAATTGTGTTGTGTGGGTGTTGAGCGAGCTCGACTCGCGTCAGCAAGGCCTCGTGTATGAGTAAGAAAATGAATCAAAGGCCGAGTAAATCGAACTTAAAGCAACGTGAGGTAGTAAACTAGATTCGACTCGGATTTCTATGACAGATCTCAAGTAACCCCATGAAGTCTTGACATCGGTCCTGTATATTCAAAGCCGGTGGTCTACTTAACTCCTCCACTGCTCGAGTCGAATGAAACTTTCTTAACTCATTTAAAAAACAACTTTTCAAAACTCGACTCAACTCATCTCTCTCGACTCATCACGAGTGGAGTCGAAACACAAGTCTACCGAGATAAAAAAAAACTCTATGATTGCATTTGTTGTTTGTTGGTAACTTATGGAGTTTTCAGTGGCATTTCTTTTTTACGCCGATGTATAATTACGTGCATTTCTTTGATTTCAAACTAGTATTGCGTCCGCAATTCTTAACCGATTTTGACCATTTTGATCTTAAGATGACCACATAGAATATGTGTTGAATGTTTGAAATCAAGAAAGTTATAAGTGTTTTCCCTATACGGCGAAATGTGCGTCAAAAACGATTTTCTGTACTGTCTCACAGTGCATTGAAACCGGTTTGATTCCTCTGATCCCCTTAAAATTAATATGAAGACTGTAAATTAATAATGAATTTGTATGACGTAATATTTTGCCATTTCCAAGAATACCAAACCCTAGCAATGGCTAAAAGTGATGCTGCAGTGGGAGTTTTATTCCTATTGGATTATTATTATTAATCCGTTTACGACGGCGAATTAATTTTACCAAGTATGACACTGGTTGAGAAATGATAGCTGTTTTTGTATAACCTTGCACTCCGAGGTAAAACTGGGTTGGCTGGAAGTTGAAGTTCTTGGTAGCACGAGAAATATTAACCCAATTACTTTAACTGATGTAGAAATTTTACTCCCTTTTTTATAGAGTACAAGCCTGACGTCTTCTTTTAGCAGGGGTCCAGAAGGAATCATTTTGAATAGCATGGAGCCAATTTATCTAAACACCGTCTAAAAAGGTGTACGGTCTGATTGTTACTGACATCGTTTCAGGGTTGAAGGTTTGCAAGTTTTTTTTATTTCACGCAAAAATTGTACGTTAAATATTTAACAGGCAATTTTAAACAATACAAGCACCATATTTAAATAAAAGATTCTGTATCCTCCATGATTAGTGAGGTTCCCACGAACTCCCAAGAACAATGCAATGTATATACTACGCTGATCCATGGATGCATTAGCACCAGTGTTTCTACTGTTAAATAACACCTGCACGAAATTAGTGCACGAAAATGTTTTTAAACGTTTAATAACACCCACCAAAAATCCTGAAAAGTGCATGAAAATCAACGAAAATGCACAAAAATAATTTTAGGGCAAATAATATTGAAAGATTGCAGATTTATAATGCGATTTTTCTAAATAATTGGTTAATTAAGAAGTCGTTGTGCTATTTCATGGTATTTACATCTTCACCTTAGTATTTTAGTAGCAAAAAATTTTCCCTTCTCGACTAAAATATCAAAAACTTTTAATATTTAAAAATGTTAAAGTTGTAAATCCGTAAATAATAATGACTAAAATAATGAATCAAATCCCCATTTCACATGGCAGGAAAATATAAAAATCCTGGAAAATATTAAATTTCCTACATGAAGTGAATTTCATTCATTTTCGTGCATTTTTATGCATTTTTATGCGTTTGTATGCATTTTTATGCATAAAAATAATTTCGTGCGCACAAAAAGAAACACTTGTCAGCACAGACGAATTATTTAACAGTGTCGTAAATAATATATGATTCATCCTGACTGCTATAGGGTCAGTCCACGTCAATGTCAATCATGTGTTGCGGACCACGTCTCAGATTTTAGGTCTAATTTTACCATAAATACGTACTACTTAAATAAAGTTACTAGTGAAAAAATAAAAATTCTATGTTAGAAACTGGCCGAGAATTTAAATTCGTAAAAAATTTAAGAAACATTTTCCGTTTGATGCACTGAGTGTCACGTAATTTTGGGAAGGTTTACCTAAACCTAAAAGTTGTTGTAGGCACTATAAACTAAATTCTAAAATTGAAAACATTTGAAAAATTTGAATTCTAGCCATTTTGTAATGGTAACTTCAGAACTCTATAACTTTTTGCACCCTGTCGTGTGCAACCCAAATTTCATAAATTATAACGTAATTTTAAATTTCTAATCCACCATAAAAAAATTAGGTCGCACACGACAGGCTGCAAAAAAATATATCGATTTTTCTGACACACATTAACACATGCAAGCTTATGGGTGGGAATATTCCCAAAAATTATCAAAAAAGAAGAGGCGTAAACAAAACTTTCAGTGAAAAAATTCAAATGCCATACCAGTCAAGATTATTTTTAACGCTGAGTTTAAAAAACTGTGACTAAAAAAATGTAGCCCTGACCGCGTCGACATTTAAAAACTTAGTACGTGCTACGCCCACTGCTGGTGAGCACCACCATCAGTAGTGTCGCTCGGAGTGGAGAGACAACATCTCCGCTCTCATGACTCTCGCCCGATCATGGGTATTGACGTGGACCGACCCTATAGCGAAAAATTCCAAATTTTTAAATCAAAAATAAATATGATGTCTCACAGGGGAAGAGTAGGAAAGCAGTGCAAAAGTTTGGTTTTAGGATCAGTGGAACTCTTACTTCTCTCGGAAATAAAACCTTTATTTGGCGTGTTTACAATTTTTCTAAAAATAATAAATTTCGACTTGTACACAAAATCTTGAAAGTAATATTGACACCACTCTAAAAACTCTTATTCAAATATGTATTCTCCTTTTTGCAAGCGTTCATATGTACAATTTTAATTTGATTAGCAAGATTTTAAAGTAAATCCGGAAAAACGGACATTTCTACGGATATGTACATATGTAGGATTGATTATGCTAAAAATGTTCTTTTCCAACCCCAACAAAATGATTATTTGTGATCGGGCCTTTTATTGCTGAGGTCTTCATGTATCTATGCTCCCTGAACAAACTCTACGAAATCCAAATTCTACCATTTCAACACCAATTTGATCTCTTACAATTAATCATTGCTGAAACGTGGCTCAACTCACGAAGATGAATTAAAAATTCCAGCTTATCAGTAAATAACTCCACATTCCTGCAGGGCATATGTATTTAAGCACCACGTTCTGCATGGTTTTGTTTCCTTTCGCCAAGTTCCCACGAACAATGCAATGTATGTAAATGTAGCCAGGACACGCTTTATTTTATCACTAGAGTAGAGGCCCGTTCAAGAACGGGTTCTAGGCCCCCAGAGGGGGGTGTGCCCATAGCGCAAAATCCCTAAACTTTAAATAATTTCCAGTAGAGACTTTGTCCCTTGTCATAGCGCATACATGCATCAAAGTGCCCAAGTCATGCTGTATTTCAATTTCCCTGGTTACGGAACAATCTGATTTCCCCCTGTGGGAGTGGCTGGATAGCTAACCACTTAAATTCTCACGTTCCACGCTCCCATTAACTTCCACAAACCCCGTTGACTTCCACAAACCCCGTTAACTTCCACAATCCCCTTTAACTTCTACAATTAACGCCAAGCTATTGACGGCGTTGGATTCAGCGTCAAAAATGCATTCCAATTGATATGCGACATCACGAATAAGCAATATTTGAACCCCACGGTCACGGGAAGGTAGCGGGGGCCTCGCAGGTCAAAACCATCGGCGGCGTTGGATTCAGCGTCAAAAATGCGTTCGAATTGATATGCGACATCACGAATAAGCAATATTTGAACCCCACGGTCACGGGAAGGTAGCGGGGGCCTCGGAGGTCAAAACCATTGACGGCGTTGGATTCAGCGTCAAAAATACATTCGAATTGATATGTCACTCGCTGTGGGTGGAGTTTCTCAAACTAAAATAATTAATTAATAGTGTTTATCACGATCACTTATCATGATAACCACTATTGATGAGTGATGTATGTATGTATGTATGTATGTATACTGCTCACTCACTGTACATTTTCATGCATGCATTTATTCATGCAATGTGGTGGTGGTGGTGGCTCCGCTTTTTTCTTTGTCTCCTCATTTGCATAATTCTCCACAGGCAGGCAGCCAGGGATCATACTAACGCTTTATTAGAGTGGATGTTTAATTGGACAACTCCTTATTTCTACTTCGTATAATGTCTCTCTTCTCGTTCCGCAGCGAAACTCTTTTAAATACAGACATGGTCCAACGGAACTTGCCATGCACGTCAGTATTTATTGTGGAATGCCAACTACAAGCAGTCCTTCAAGTTGGAAGCAGTAAAGTAAATGGAACAGTCATTGGCGGAACTAGGAATTTGTGGCCCCTAGCCACACATCGGTCGGGGCCCCTGACTGATGTTCAGATAGTTAAAAGGCGAAACAATTTTTTGAAAAATGTTCAGAGCTCGGGATTTCATACATACTCGTAATATATGTTTTTTAAGAGTAGTAGCTTTTGCTAATTTAGCAAAAAAAAATCCAACACACATTCCAAAAATTACAGCATTTTGACGTTATTCGGGTGGAATTTTGATTATGGTTTATCAAAATCGGGACACGGAAATACCATATTAAATTAATCAGAATTAAAAAAAATACAGGAAATTAATTGAAATTTTTACTACGGCCGGGGCCCCACGGACGCGGGCTCCCCCTACCCTAGCTCCGCCAGTGGAAAGAGTTGATTTCCTCTCGGTTCAGTTTAGATCACTCTCCTGTACCCACGCACCATGCGACCAATCTACTTTTCTTATCTGCAAATTTTCTTCACGATACACATGTCAAACTAGTCCTGCTGTGGGACTACATACGTATATAGCATTGGAAAATCGTATCTCTTAAAAAAGGCAGAGAAAAGGTTTTGTTTTGTTTTTAGTAGGGGCTGTCCAGAACAAATGTCATTTTTTTAAGTTGTAGGTGAAATCCCAACTGTAAATGAAAAAACATATTTTTTCCCACTTTCAAAAAGTTGCATCTGTTCTGGATGGCCTATACCAAAAGAAACAAATTGTATCTATTTTTCGGGGGTACGATTTTCCAAGGCTACGTAGCGTCCCACAATAGGCCTGTTTCAAGCTAACAGATACATAAGTCCGAGGACGAGCGACAGGAAATAAAAAAGTTTCAGTGATGACCCACACCATAATTTTTTTGCAATGCAAAATTTAGAATTTTTGTCAATTTTTTCTGATCACCTTCAAATTTTGCACGTATGTACATGGAAAATCCCTATCTCGAGTATCAGAAGAAGATGGTGGCCACTATGACACAATTTGTTGGTGGAGAATAAAATAGTGTACAAAAGGCGTTAGGACATGGTTTTGACGAATTCATACCTTAATTGCGGGATGGTTTTTAGTTGTAGAGATTTCTAACATTTTTTATGTGAAAGCCCATGTCTCAAACTATACGTAAGCATATCTGGCTTCCGATTTTGTGTACCCAGCGAAATGAGGCAAGGTCAAATTTGGAGAGGTATCCTTTTTTAGTTTTCCAAAATAGTGTTCTTATAAAATGGCGTTGAACAAAATATTTTTTTCTGAGGTCCCGGTGCAAAAATCGTCTTTGTGACTATTATCATGTGACTTAGCATGCTTTTCACTATATAAAACCACTTCTATCTCATGCTTATCTTTTAAGTCCCTTTTGTAGTCTAGCTTCATACTTGCCCTAATGGAATGCTCTCGTGAACGCAACTCCTCCACTTTTAAGGCCCCCAGATTTTACGTCTTTGATGCTAAAAATCCCCAACCTGGTTTCTATCCAAGGTACATATAGTATATTGCACTGTAAGTACTTTTGGTAAAATTTTGATAAGTGGTTACACCCCAGGAAATGAGTTCTCATTAAACCCTATAAAATTTTTGGAAAAGTTTCCGTCATTATCGAGGTCGAACTTTAAAAATAATTTAAATAGTCAAACCTCAGTAATTTTATTATTTTGTCACTTGTACCTTGTAGATAAAATAGTTCTGCAGCAGGGGACACAAAAAAGTTATTAAAATTTGTTTTCAACAAAATTTGACCATTAATTTCCCGAATTAGTTTACGAGTTTTTTACGATTCCCCGTCAGCTGATTAGCTCGAGTTCTTCTCCAAGACTGTTTACTCAAAATCTTAACTATTTAGTTTAATATTACTTAGGACACTTCCAGCTTTGCCCTCAATCTTAATTTGACCTAGTGGGTCCGGTTTCAAGGGCAGCAGGTCAATTTTCCGGTGCACGGTCCGATTTATCACTTTTCATGGAAAAGTATCAACGACGATGGAGGCCCAACATTATCTAATTCATTGCGGATTCTTGTATTATTACATTCAATGATTACCTAGGGTTATAATATTAACAATCATTCACCTCTGACCTCTTAGGTTATCATGCTACATGAGTAATTAAGTTTGGAAAGTGTATTTTTGGCTCCTTCCAACTCTGGGGGCACGGGAGGGGGCATTTATGAAGCTATCGGCCTAAAATTTTAAATATATCTTTTTGAGAGTATTATCTTGCAACTGACCAAAAATCAGTTCAAAATTCAACTCCCCGCCAGAGATATTCACCCCCGAATTCGTCAAAACCATGTCCTAACGCCTTTTGTAAGGCAAAATTTATGAAGGACTGTTGGGAAAATGGTTTCATGGGTTTGGCATATATCTAATATGGATAAGATCGACAGGCCATTGATACTTAACTAAGATTTAGAAACTGGTCATTCCTTAACTCGGGCTAGTGGAAGTTTCTTTGCAAGTTTTATTCCCATCATGCTTGTTTAGTCGTAGTTTTTCTTGTGGTGTGGTTGAGGAAAGGTTGAAAATTTCCAATATACATACTTATGTAGTTACTGATTTCTTTATTTTTATCGAGTTGTATAAATGTTCGTGAATTAAAAAAAAACTTTAAATTTTCAAAAGTAAATTGACTGCAAACCTTTAGCCGAACATGGAAATATTAATTAAAATTTTATTATGTTTGCAAATTTTAAAATAAGAAGAGTAAATAAACCAATGAAGTTGTAAAAGTAATTAATATCAGTCGTACATTACACTATTATTATTCATTCATTAATGGTTTTGAAATCTGGTTACTGGTTTTACAAACAAATATCCATATCTGTACATTGCACCCATGAAGTTTTAAAGGTGAAAGATGAAATGGCGAGTGACAAAATAAATAACAAGGCATTATAACTTTTATCCCAAACCTTAAAACTAATGACGCACGGATCAATTATATTAAACCATTGAAACTCCAAAACACCTGATAAATAACGTATTTAAGTAATTAGTGCCATTATACATATTATCGTAATTAGCTGCATTATGTGAAGAGAATTCTCTGAAAAAATAATTTATCTCAATAATCATGCATCTTATCAGTGGTGGTGTGATACTTAAATATTCCTTTCTTTATCAATTGAAGCATGATGCCATTGTGACTCTCTACATAGTTACACTTCGTCCATTTAACTTGACACTTCATTTACATATTAGTCTTTACAAAAATTAAATCCCAAAAGATGGAATACAACTTAAACATCGAGGTTGCACAAGTCGCGGATAGGAATCGTAAACTAAAGATGATGGCAGCCGCATTATTTGGAGGGGTTGCCCAAGTAGCCTTAATGCATCCTATGGACACAGTTAAGGTAATTTTTTGATTTATTACAATTTTAATAAAACTGAAAATTAATGGAAAAATTTATCAGACAAGAATGCAAGTTATGGGGTATAAGGGCCAGGTAACGGCTTTTCCGTCCCTCTACAAGGGATCTTGGGACTGCTGTGTGAAGACGCTAAGACAGGAAGGGTATCTCGGGATGTTTCGAGGCTTATAAGTACACATTAAATCGTACTAATTCTGAATATACTTGGGTGCACTGGAGTGTTAATTTTTAATAGACCTATTTGCACAAGAAAATTCTATATTTTTTCGAACAAATTTATCCCTGATCATGAATCGTTTGAAAATATGAAAAAATTTTTTTAAAATAGTCGGGGTTGATATTGGATATGATAGAACAACTATTTATATGGGAGTAAAATAGTGCAAGAATTATAAAAATCCGATCAAAATGGGATTTTTGGTGCGGCGAGTTTAGGTTGAAATCTGGTATTCATAGCATGAGGTGTTATCCTCCTTAGTAAGAGGTAAGGTAAACCTTGCCTCATTATTCACCAAAGATTGCACTAACTTCCTTTTAGAGCTTTTTTATACACGCCCCGGTCTATTTAAAATTAACACTCAACTGCACTAAGTCAATTTAGAACTAGAACACAATACAGTAGTTAAGAAAACCATACATATTTATCAACTTTTCCTTGCATATGTTTTGTCAGGAATGTCGCCATTTCTAATGGCACAGGCGCCATTATCTGCGTGTGGTTTCCTGGTTTTTGACACTGGTAAACTTGTAATGCAGAAAGTTACCAAAAATTCCCAACTAAGCGATAGAGAGACCACTGTAGCTAGATTTGTCTCGGTGTTGGTCTGTTCTTTACTTTTGACGCCAGGGGAGAGAATCAAATGCTTGATTCAAGTATCTACAGTTTTATTAAATTGTTATATTTTTTGTTTATATTTATATTTGTTTGTTGTAATGCAGCTCATTTAAATTGAAGGTTCAGACCCCTGAGACTCCACAAAACTATAGTGGTCCAATGGACTGTGCCAAAAAACTTCTTGCTAATGGTGGAATCTCCAATTTTTACAGAGGATTTTGGATAACGTATCTTCGAGGTAGGTAGAATTTAGCGGATTGAATTATAATTTAGTTGAGGCTATAAGCACCGTCATCAAATTCTAGAAGTGAAGTCGATGCTTAGTTCTATAAACCAACCAGGAAAAACGAAATGCTTATGGTTGAGGCAAAAAAGCGACATTTGGATCAGACATTGGAAGAGACATTTGGAGCAGGGTTTTGAGCTTTGCCCCATACCAGGCAGTATAAACTCCCAGTCTCTCGCTGTGTTAAGTTCTGGCCAGCAACCACTCAAAACCTTTAAGTATCGAGACTCTTAGGTGGTTCAGAACCCCACAAAATATAGATATTATTCTTTCGACTGTTGATACCTTTCCAACGGTACAAACAAAATTCCGAAGTTATCACACACCGCCAATTTCTTTAATACGTATTTGGACAAATGCCTACCTTTTTTGCCTCAACCATAAATGAAGCTACAGAGTACAACGAATAAAATTATACGAAAAAATGAAAAGTCAAATAAATGTATCAACCCTTGGAATTTTAAATTCTCTTTACTCTAGGTAACAGTGAGTAACAGTGACAGCCTGTCACTGACAGGTAACGAAATTTGAAGATAAATAGGTTTTTTTTGTGCACCTAAGGGTTTTTAGAATTAAATATCGACTACACTTTGACCAATTTAGGAAAGGGTTGTCGTTGAGAATCTCACCGTGAGTTGAGACGATCTCATCTCATCTCATGATGAGACGAGTTAAGGATGAGATGAGATGGGCGCTAAATGAGATGAGATCTTATACAGAGGGCATTTTAAGATCTTGGATGTGAATTCTGACCTTAATTACGACTTGGGTGTTTGCCGTGGAGATTTCTAATGTTTTCTATGCGAAAGCCCTTGTTCTTAACTATCATGTGACATCTACCACTCCAGCTTTGGTAAACTTTGGCGAGGATAGTAGGAGTAACTTTGGACCGTTCATCCTTTAGAACTTTCCAAACACCTTGTATAGTATAGGCTAGGTTAGGCTAGAGAAACATGTTCTTTTCAGATGTCCAAAGCCAAAGAAATCCAGGGGACTTGCATCAGGAGACTTAACAGGGATGTCACTATTTTGAATAATTGTTATCCCCAGCCTAACTTTTAAGTCCTTGGCGTATTCTTGGGTCAAACGTGCAGTATGAGATGACGCGGCATCGTGATGAACGACGACTTTTGACGTGTCCCTACCGTACCGCTTGGGAATATAAACTTTCAATAGGGACTTCAAAACAAAGTCTGTAGAGTACCTCGACCTAATTTTTACTTTTGGGGGAATTTAATTAAGGGCATGACATCACGGCCTGATATTACGCCCACCGTCATGAACTTCTTACAAAGTTCTCCTTGTGTGGGGAGGCCCACCTTGATGGATTTTTTTGAGCGATTACATCGTAGTAAATCCTCCGTCGACCGTTAGTGTCTTGTAGAGAAAACAATGCCTCATCAAGTGTGACAACAAATTCTCGCTTAGCTTTCGTCAAAAAATTTGCACAAACGTTTTTCCACTTGCGTCGCCGACATTTTATCTATTTGTCGTTCAGCTGATGAACTCGAGTCTTCCTTCGTATCCTTTTCTTCAAAATCTTTGTTGCTCTATTTAAACTTGACACAGACACTTTAACCTTCTTGCTTATCTGGGTTTGAGTAGGTGGGTTCTCTTTAGAGGTCAGAAGTTCAATTTTCCGCAGGACGGTGGTAGTTAGCACTTTGCGAGCGTATCTGTTCGGGGGTGGTTGTAAGCCGGCGAAAAGAGCTTCACGATTCTTTCCTTGGTTTTTCAATACCTTAGTTATTATGTAATCTATCACTCACTGAAAATCCTTAACCTTTGACCTCTTTCTTGATTCTGCTATAGGGGTAACCAAGTTTGGAAAGTTTTTTTATGATAGTGTCTACCTCAGGGGGGGGGGGCTGGAGGGGGCATTTTCACACCCAACTTGTCAAGTATTAAAAACTAACATTTTGAGAACACTACCGAGCCATGTGCCAAGTTTCAGGAAAATATTTCCATTCCTGCCAAAGTTACCAAGGTCAGAATTCACATCCAAGATCTTGATATGCCCTCTGTATGAGTCCACCAAAACCGGACAATATGAGATGAGATTATGATGAGATGAAATGCAGCGAGATGGGACCCATAAGCAGCAATGTATTTCATATTATCTCATCCAGTGTACTCTAAAAAGAAACAAAAGGAAAAATTTCCAATGCTTTTTTTGTTTTTTTTTTGCTGTTTGCTTTTTTGGTGTTCTGTGCTTTTTTGATGGCGCCACCTAGCAGCCTGCCAATGTACTACAATGGTAAAATTTACAAAATTTACGCAAAAAGCAAAAAAAAGCAAGAATTTTTTATAAGCAAAAAAGCTGCTCTTTACAGAAAAACAACAAGAAGCATAATACTGTGCTTTTTTGCTTGGGAGGACACTCATCTCATCTCAAAATAAATGAGACGAGGTAAGATGAGATGTAAATTTGAAAATCATTTAGGTTCCATCTCATCTCACTAGGTAGTATGGGATAAAATGAGATGAGGCCTCCCCCGTCTCATCGGCAACCCTAGTTTAGAATTATTACAATGATATGCATAAAAATTCCACAGGCATCTCTCAAGTGGCCGTTTACTTCCCCACAATTCGCGTAATTAACCATTATATCACACCTGAAAACGGAGTAATGAGCATGGATCGAGCATTCCTGGCGGGAATGTCTGCCAGCGTGGTAGTGTGGACGGCCATTCTTCCGATAGATGGAGTCAAAACTATTTTACAGACAGGTAGAAAACTTGTTAAAATTTCCAATCTAGCTTCTATAATAAATAGGGGATCCAAAATCGGTTTTTCTGATTTAAAAGACCGATTTTTCACCGGTTTTCGATTGACTTGAAAAGTGGTTTTACTATTTAACAGAAGACAGGTTTTGAGAAAAACCGGTTTTAAGATTTTCACAGAAATCGGTTTTGCAAAAACCGGTTTTATTACAATCGAAAACCCGTGTTAGATTTTATTGATTATGGACTACGATTTACCATTTTATGCCTTCAAAGTAAAAATTAATTACTCTGCAATACATTTTTGCCTAAAATAATGCTTTATAGATGTTTCATTTCAAATTTTGTTTTTTTATATTTTAAAAACATATCAAAAAACCGGTTAAAAACCGGAATTTGGGGAAAATCAAAAGCGAGTTTTACGAAAAGTTGTGAAAACCGGAATAATTGAAACCCGGTTTTGCGAAGATTTCCGGTTTTGGATGCCCTAATAATGAACACCTTTAATAAATATATAAACAAATCTAGCTCCTGCTGAAGGCTCTCACCCCAAAACTTGTAGATCCATAGTAACCGCGATATATAAGAATGATGGAATTCCCGGATTTTTTCGTGGAGTTATGCCAGTCGCGTTGAGAACGGTGATTGCCATTTCTTCAGTATTTGGAGGACTGCACGTAGTCATGCACGTGCTGAACGTTGATGAACTAACTTTTGAAACTAATGCGTAAATTTGTTAATATCTTGAAATTCTGGCATCCAATTATTGCGCTATAAATAGACAAATGTTGATCACATAACAAATATTATAATGATTATTAATATTATTATATTATAAATAACATACCTAGGTATGTCAAAATATTATGCGAATAAACGATACATAAATCGGTTTATTTTCATTGCGAATTCGCCTCACGAGGGAACCTCGTATAGTGCCCGGAGCTCCCAGCACATTCAATATATACATTAGACGCGTTTTTTAATACTAGTCCTATGATGTGACAAAATCTCCGTGTCAAAATGACATTTGGTCAAGCGGTGACGATTTTAGTGACGCGCCGAACGGTCACTTTCTCCCATGATTCAAAAGCATATTCAAAATCATATTCATAATGATATTCATAATCATATTCAAAATCATGTTCAAAATCATATTCATAATCATATTCAAAATCATATTCAAACATCGAATCTTCCCTGATTGGTGGAGCCAGAAACCTGGCAACCAATCAGAATGCAGGAATGTCACGGAAAATTTCACGGGACGGACTTTTCGAAATTATAATATAGATACGGACTCCCTTATGCTTTCGTGATGACGAGCAATGACGCAGTTTGGTTCAAACAATAATCCTGCACTTTGAGGAAGGTCGTCCTCTCGGCGAAATTGTTTCCAAATTTGATCTGCAGAGGTCTCAACGATTTAAAGCATCTCGTTACACTGCGTTCCTTCTTTTGTCCGCTACGTGGTTTCCAATACTTCCACATGTCCACGATTTCCTTCGACCTCACGTTCACCATGGCGGCTGCCTGGAACATAAGCAGATTTAGAGTGAAAGCATCCGCCGTCAACAAACTGAACAGTAGGAGGTCCAGGACTCCAAGTTTCACTCGGAAGGCGATGAGGGCATAGATCGAGAAGGTTTGAACCAATGGTCCCGCAAATGTGAGGAGGAGCATGATTCTATTTTGAACACATTCGTTCAGCATGACCTCCAAGATGGTGAGCATACGGTACATTTGAACCACGTCATTGACCCGATTAGCCAAATCGTACGCCTTTAGATATCCATACAGCAACCTGCAATTATCATAAATTATTTTTGACAGTGAATAATGTTTTAGAGAAAGCTGAAATTATCATATTATATATTTAACAAAGTGTTACTAGTTTTGGCAGAAAATTAAAGTCCAATAAACCGTTAAACGCATGTAGCGAAGGGGTGAAACCGAGAACTTTATAACATTTGTGAGGTGACACATGTATCAAATTTAATATATGGTGTCAGTTAACAGGTAACAAACAGTTATTTAACAAACTCATGTTCTTTGAGGTCAAAATTAATGTCACCATTGAATTCGGGGTTAAATCTCTGTTAAAATTGACATATGTATCAGATATAACGTTTAGTGACCACTAAGTGACCTCTGAGGTCAAAACAAAGGTCACCATTGCATTCGGAGATAAATTTCAGTTAAGATTGACATATGTATCAGATATTACGTTTAGTGACCTTTTAGTTACCTCTAGGTGACCTTTAGATGACCTATGAGGTCAAAATGGATGTGACCATTGAAATCGGGGTTAAATTTCAGTTAAAATTGATATATGTATGGGATATGACGTTTAGTGACCTTTCAGTGACCTCTAAGTGACCTTTAGATGACCTCTGAGGTCAAAATGGATGTGACCATTGAAATCGGGGTTAAATATCCTGTCAAATTGATATATAGATGCAATTTGACCTCTAAATGACATTTCGTGACCTTTTGACCTTGAAGGGAGTGACCTTCAGGGTCCATCTTCGAACTTGACCTTTGTTTGTATATGAAGTATTTATGTTCAAAATTTCAAGTCAATGTGTTAAACCGTTCTTGAGTTATCGCACGGACGGACGGACAGACGGACAGACAGACAGACGGACAGACAGACAGACGGACGGACATATCAATCTTATAAAGGGGTTTCCCTTAATAACCCCTTAATAACTAATTTGTTAGACCAGTGTAAACATTATTTACTAATGACAAGGTAGTTTTTTTGCTAAGGTTGTAGTGAATCCTAATTTTTGCTTTCTGTTTGTGGATGACTAATTTTCTACAAGAGAAAATCAGTTATAATTCATGCCCATGCTTTTAAATACATACTTTCGACCATACCTGTTCACATTAATTCAAATACTACCAAATGAATAATACTTAAACGAGTGAATAATTCCACATTTAAAAATAAATGAATGGATATCATATATGTAATAATTACCCTCATCATACTTTAATTTTCCACCTAAGAACTTAGAATTGCCCCAATGTAAGAGGAAACACTCCAAACAGTGTTTGGGGAGATTATCTGGGAAATACAATTCCAAAGTTAATTTTTAATTCGCCTTCAAAATTTTACATCCACGGTTAGCTTCCAATTTTGATAATTATCACTACTTATGTAAATATGTGAATATGTATATGTATAATAAGGTAGTATTTCCAAGTCGAGTAAACTAAACCGTCCCGTTGCGAAATTCTTAATAAACGAACTTCAGTTGGGTTCATGAATGTTTGACGAGACAGACAATGCGATGGCTATTAAAAATTTAGGTATATATGTATAAGTTTATACTCACAATGGAACCATTTTTCAAGCTACACGAGATAAGCTTAGTGACTTATACTTAAAAATCAAGCTAAAAATTAGAAATCGCGTGGCACTTATCTTTCCGTTGAATGGGCACTTGGAGGTCTAATATTTGAGGACAAAGTTCACAGTAGCGGCCCGTTTTTTTATCAAGCGGGCGAGCGGAGGAGGAAAATTTTCTCCTCATTTGAGGTCACTCCGGTGCCGTCACTTTCGCGTTTTCACTTTCATGCAATGCATATTATTTCTGATAAAATTTCACAATGTCATAAATTTTACATGAGACTGAAATTTTCTAAAAAATAATTTTAGTTTTTATAAAATTTCGCAATCTCGTAAATTTTACATGTACACAATTTTATATTTGCTCGTTAAATCGATCCGTAATAAAAAGTAATAAATAAAATAATCTGGTTTGGAATATGAACCAAAGAGACAAACATTTCTTATAATTTCTGAAGTTTTATTACAAAAGGTGCACGAGCAAATATAAAATTGTATACTGTGAAATTTTATCGTATAATCTGACTAACAAAGTTCTTGAGAGTACTGCACCCGAACACTCTTGACTCGCCATGGCGCTTGATGTCTCGGTTTGTAGTCCTCCAAATTCTTCCTGACTTTTATCATCCTTCATTGCTCTATTTACTTCCATATTTCTGTTTGAAGGATGCTCATAGCACATGATACTATGATGACGTCTTCTACAAATTCCGCATTCTATCTTTGCTTTGCACGCGGCCGCTCGATGTCCAAATCTGAAGCATGTGAAGCACCCTCTCTTCTCACGTATTCTTCCCTCCTTTTCCTTATAACTCATCTTCTGAGCCGCATAAAATAAATTGCTGGCGTGACTCTTTCCACAAAATATACATTGACTCGACCTCTGACTTGTAATTGACACGAGCCCTGCTGCAGTTGCGATCTCTTCTTCGTGGCCTGACTTCTTCGGAGATTGTCGTTGCCCAACTTTCTTCTTCTCTTTCTCCCCGCTCGTCATCTCAATCTTCCATTCGCTCTCCATCTCATCTCTCAAAAAATCCAATAAACATTCCAATTTTGACTTCGGGGGGACGAGAGTTGACCCCTCCACCTTTGAGAAATGAGAACGAAACCACGTGGCGAGCGTCTCCTTCGGCAAACTCTTCACGATCATGGGGAGTAGATATGGCGACGACTCTTCCGACTTCACACCAAGTGACTCCAAATTCTGCAGTTGAGTTTGGAGAGCCATGAAGAATTTCGAAATCGAACTCTTCTCCTTACTGAATAGTAGCTCGGCCAAATCTGTCATGTACATTGCAACCAGCATCTCCTTCTTTCCATACTTCTGTGTTAACATGTCGACGGCTTTCTGGTAATTTTGAGGGGTCTTTGGGAAACTTCCTACGATTTCTGCTGCTTCCGTTCCACTTTCCATGGACTCGACGAGGTATCGGAATTTGTCGGGAATTGATAATGACTGGTCCTTATGAATTAACTCATAGTGTGCCCACCACCCGAGCCAGCTTCTCATCTTCCCGTCGAACTTCTGTAAATTGCATTTGGGCAGCTTCACTCTTCTTTCACCTCCACTCGAATTTGCACTTCCGACGGGCGATTCCGGTCGACTGGGAGTTGAAATCGCAGTCTTGATCCGCAGAATCATCTCTACTGAACTCTCATTGATCTCTCGCCACTTCTTTCTGCTTTGTCGATACTTATCTTCCAAATTCTGTAATACGTAGTGGTCGAGAACTTGACCCGCGTAGTGCTCTGCTTCTTCTGTCAACTGTTGAATAGTCTGTAGCTTCCGAGTGAGAATAGCCTGGTCCGGCTGTGCTTTGTCTAATTCTTGACGTGCGATTTCCATATCTTCATTCAATAACCCCATCGACACTTTTCTTCTCATTTTCATTTGCATAAATGGGGTTTGTTGCACTCTCGGCGTTCGTGGTGGTGGTGACCGCGGCGCATCTTGTAATCGTTGTGGCGAAGGAATAACGACGTCTTTTTCCTCCTCAAACTCCTCTTGATTACGGGCTCTGGTCCCTCCACCTCCTCTTACTGTTTCCTGATTAAAAAGGCCCCACATTTTTTAGGAATTATTCACGCACGACAAAATTGAAACAATATGACCTGGCTATACTCCCGTCCGGTGGGAGTTAACCACTATGTACTCAGCGTGTCGATTTCCAGCACGACACCGGCCTGCTCTTCCAAAATGTTGTGGTCCTGCGGTCCGAGTTGCGGCTGAGTCCTCCCCTCCTCCTTCTTTAAAATCCAAATTTGAGTGGACGACCCGGCTGCTCTAAAGAACGTCCGGGAATGAATGGGAATGGTCTGAAAATGTGGTCATAAAATCACAATGAGTTATCGGAATTTTAAACTTTTTGCATATGTATAATACCAAATACGTACCTACATAATTTAATTAATAGCTAAGGCCGCCACACCCCCGTTGGCGACTAGTTCGATTTTCTTGCGAAGATTTTTCATTAAATTTTTTCCCGAAGTTTTTGCCACTTCCGAGGTGATTTTCTTCCATCGTCCTTTGAATTTTCGAAAGGTGTCAGGCACATCTTGAAGCCGGGAGTATACTGACTTAGAACGTGCCCAGAATTTTTCGATTGGGCGGAGTTGGGGTACATTAGGTGGGTTGATATCTTTTGGTACGAAATCAATATTTTTCTTTCTGAGGTACTCGGTCACTTTCTTTGCATAGTGACAAGTGGCGAGGTCAGGCCAAAACAAAACTTTATCATTTTTGTGAAACCTATTAATAAATGCTTCCAATCCAGCCTTGACGCAATTTTTCAGATAAATATCTTGATTGATATTCCCTTCGAGAACTACCGGGTCTGATACATGTCCGTGACTGGAGATGCATTGCCAAATGCAATATTTCTTTGGAAATTTGTCTTTTTTTCGTACTTTTTCTTCATAAGCCACTTCAGAGGGATCCGAGCTATGAAAAAAATGACGCCCTGGAAGATTTGAAGGGTCAACCGGAACATACGTTTCGTCATCCAGGATCACTACTTTTCCACGCATTTTCTTCAACAATTTTTGACAGCAATCCTTGATCCGACTTTCTTGTACGGGCTTGTAATTTGGTGCAGGTTTTTTGGTCCTTGCTTTGATTCCTAATTTATGGACCTTAATTTCCCCCAGGTAGCTTTTGGAAATTTTGACTTTCCTGGCAGCTACAGCTACTGACGTTGATGGCTAGGTTTTTAAAAATTTTTTCAATTCTATTTTTCACTCGAGTGGTCGCTAGCTTCGCCGGACGACCAGCTGGCTTCTTGAATTGCACATTTTCGGAATCCTTGAACTTTTTTATGTAGGAATACACATTTGAACTTGGAATTCCTTCCTGCTTAAAAAAGTTCCAGGTCACCTTGGAGTCTCGGTTGGCTGTCGTGTTGTAGAACTCCATCACTCGTTTTGCTAACAGCTCCCTTTCAAACAAGCTTCTTCTACCCTTATCCATTTTTGAAATTTAACAGTGATATACCAAATTGACCCTAATGAAGTGGGCTTTCAGAAATTTAAATTATTATAGTTCGCGGGTTTATTGATTTGTCAATATACTCGCTAGAGCGCGCATTCCCATTCATTCCCGGACGTTCTTTATTTCCTCTTCAAATCTCGAGACCAACAGACCCAACAGAACAAAACCAATTAGTTATGACAAACCAAACTTCTGAACGATACGGACCTGGATTGACTGTCCTTAGGGTGACAGTAAACCGCAAACTCTTTATCTCCTACTTGCTGGTCCTTTGGATGTCGTTCTTCTCCTCCCACCGTCTGCACTGGGCCACAATGGGATGAACACTCCTTCCAAAACTCGATGAATTAACTACCGCCCACCCGGGGGCGCAAATGATTTTGAATAGCCACTCCCACTACCAGCAGCGAGCCTATTCAGGTTTGGGTGGGTGTAGTCTCTTCGCCGGTTGAAAGGATGAGACTTCTGCTTTCCTCCGAGAAATGGTGCAAATAATGTGTGCACAACAAATGACGATCTCTTTAATGCAACGCCAATTTATTGTCACAATTTAACTCACTAATTATTACACCAATTGTCCACTATTAGGACCACTGTCTCAGCAGTAAGTCTGCTCTGTTCCTATTCTAAACTACGACTCTTTTCTACCTCTTGTTAACCTTTACTCAAATCCAAGGTTAATTGTTCATTGCCTTTCTTTCTCTTGCCAACACACCACCACCGCGAATCAAAAATAGTGGGGCGACTTAAGACACAAAAAAGAGAGATTTTCATGCATGAAAAGCTTATATTACGCAAAATGCCACGCGATTTCTAATTTTTAGCTGGATTTTTAAGTGTAAGTCACTAAGGTTATCTCGTGTAGCTTGAAAAAAGTTGCATTGTCAGTAGAAAACATTTTCAAGTTGCTCAGATATGTATGTGTGTCAGCTTTATGTACATATATTCCCCAATGATGTTAAATGGTGGATCGAATATTTAAACGATTTTTAATCTCACTACATCACAAATCACATTATATCTCAAATTTCTCATGCCTCACTATTTCTCATTATATCTCAATGAGATATGATTTGTGAAGATGAGATGAGATTTCTGCAACCCTGATGGCAACTATAGCCACAATAGACATCCAATCATTTTATCATCAAATATACCGCACAATATGTTATAATTGAAACAATTTACCTTCTCAGCATAGTCACATTGCTCAAGACAATGGCAATTCCTGCAGTCAAGAGTCCAAATACGTAGAAGCACGCCCCTGACATGACTTCAAGTGCGACGTAGAATTCAACCATGAGAAGGAGTGGCCAGTAACATGGAATTGATGGATTGGCCGCATTTTTACAGAAATCAAATCCTGAACCCAGAAACGGTGGGATGCACGGTTTCAGGGTGATTATGATGGGAATGGCCAAACTGAAGGCGCAATAGGTGGCAGGAATCAATGGCCAAAGCATGAAGTTCATCAGCAGATCGATCTTGCGCTTCGGAAAGGCTTGATCTGTGAAAGATTATAAAATATGCAAATTTTCTTCATTGAGGAACATACCGATAACTATAGTATAGTTTGTGCATTTCTATGTATTATGTAAGTAGGACTTCTGCCCACCGAACGTCTCACTACTTTGTGTAGTTAAAGTATTCGAAATTTTATCACAATATTGCTAACATGAGTGGGTTTATCCGGACATACGTAAATAAAACAATTGGAAATTATCATTCTTTTTTTGGTCTTGAGCATTATACGAAAAGTTACTATAGCTTTTTAGCCCGAGTCAGGGCTTATGTACCCGTCATGTCCGTCTGTCTGTCCGTCTGTCTGTCTGTCTGGTTTGCGATAACTGCCGTAAAACTAATCCGATCGACTTGAGATTTGGTACACATGTAGTATGGGTCAAATGAGGAGTTAAGTTCGAAGATGGGCGAAATCGGTCAAGTGGTTGACCGGTGGGGGTCATATAGGTGGGAGGGGTATTATGCATCAAAATTTCAAAATTGTCGTAGAAAGCTGAAATTTGGTGCCAAGGTTGATAATGGTTTCTAATGAAGGAATACAAAGTAAAATTGCAAAAATTTTCATCTGGACGGACCCTAGGGGGTGACCCATACCGATTTTTAAAACTTATCCAATCGAGCTGAAATTTGGTACATAGTTTGTTAATGGCTACCAATGGAAGAATATGAATTGAAATTCGACACATTTTCATCTGGACAGACCCTATGGGGTGACCCATACGGATTTTTTAAATTCATCAAATCGAGCTGAAATTTGGTAGAAAAATTGGTAGTAGCTCCAATGGAACAATATGAAGTAAAATAAGAAAAATTTTCATCTGGGGGACCTTATTGGGCGACCCAATAAGGTGACCAGGGAGAAAAATATTTGTGCACCAACAAATGTATACGAACCTAGTCACCCGCGTATCTGAAATTTATATATGTTGCGTCTAATATTACTAGGATAATATCCTGAGAGTTTTAGGAAAAACTATACACTCGTTTCAAAGTTATGGTCACAGTCGATACTGGTGACGAAGGGAAAAAAATGTGTGCACTAACAAAATTTAGTGATTGTGGATAAATTTTGGTATATGGGTTACTAAAGGCTCTTAATTGAATAATTCGAAGTTTTAAAATTTTAATTTGAAAACAGATTTACGCCTGACTCGGGCTATATCAAGTCTGCACTGTAGGTTTTACAACATCAAATCCCGTAAGCTATTAGGTGGAAACAAGTATATTTTCACAATTTTTAAGTACGCTAAATTAAATTTAAAACAGTGCGCACAATTATCGGTAATGTATTTATACATCCAATATTAAATACGTAAGAAGTAGTTGCATTATGGTAGAAGGTGAGTGAGACTTATAAATCCCTGCTTTGACTCATTATATTTAATGTTTTTTCATTTTCGAAAACCACGTATGAATTTAGAATCGCAAGTATATATCGGAGTTTAGAAGTATATAAATGTTACTTTGGGTCGAGCATAATCGAACCAGCAACCTTTGTTTAACGTACCAATATGTTATCATTTCCCTACACTCACGACTCATCTAAAATTAATGGACGATACAACCCATAAAAATCGCCTATAACTTACGCTTTGTCAGTACTTTTTCCATTATTTTTGCTGGCTCCACAAACCATGGGATAGCCTTGTAATCAGTAAAATCCATTTTAACAATAATTGATCCAGTATAGACAACCAGGAACAGGGTTGTTTGGATTTTCGTCCTAAATTCTATCCGACTTGCCATCACATCCCTGACACGGACCATCATTATGATGTTGTACACGAGAAGCAACATCCAGCGCCCTCTAATCAAAATGCGTTCGGTGCTGGACCTCTGGCTTCGAACATTGTCAGATTTTCTATCCCATTTGTACGGAAGCTTTAATATTCGTGCCTTCTCAAAGTAGATAATGCAGGACTTAAAGAGCTTGAACAGTTTTGTAAAGTTCATTTTTCTTGAATAAGAAAAAGACACGGGGATGCGTAGTCGTCTTATGCATGTGGGTCGTTCGTCACCATGAAGCAAAGACTGATACGCTTATGCATACGGGTCATTTGTGTATCCAATTTTATTAAAATGTTCTCCTAGGATCCGTAAAATATTAATAATGTTGGCAGCCACCGACACGTTCCGGCAATGTTTTGTGGAAACAATAGACACTGAAATGTAAATATGTAGAAGGGGAGACGAAACTTGTTTTATGAAATTAACATGGTTTGCTATATTTTCTAGTTTAATAGATGATCGTAAATAGAGGCAAGTTAGTAATTCCTGGGTTAGGTCGGCCAATATTAGATATTTTAGTGAGCTTACATAGTTACTAAATATTTACAAACGAGCACATATCCATGCGTTGTAAGAGTTGACACGCGGTCATTAACTTTTAATCATGAACATTCTTAAATTGACCTGATAAATCCTTCGCGATCTACATAATATCTCAATATCGTCACTTGATATTTATTTCATGAAAGTATGCTCAATATTGAGCGATGCTGGGCACCGAACACGGTACCTAAATAAATACATATAGAAGCAACACAAGCAAGATTTTCATGATTACCTGGTTGGATATATCGTCCCTGACAACTTTTCATTATGTGCGAGAAACACAATATTTTTATGCGTTCAGTACAAAAGAAATTTTGGACCAAACTATAAAACTCATCCTGCACGAAAGTTTTTAAAATAACCTCAATCCATCAAATGCTTACACCATGCGAAACTTTCAATTTTCCATTGTGATTGTCAGTTTCTACATAGTTTTCTTGCAAGAATGTTCAAGAATTTGAATTGTACATTGCTAGACAAGTAGTTGAAGCTTCTTGAAGAAAAAATATTTTGGAAAACATTTTTTTTTCGACTCAAATAAATTTAGGGAATTTCAACCCTTTATTACATATATTTAAGATTAGTTCGTACAATGAGAATTCCAAACAATTGAGAATTCCAAACAAAACAAAACATTTTGGAAAACAAAATTTGACTGGGTTGGCCGTACGGCAATGGGAGACACAAAAGACACATAAACGTCGTTTTCTTGACTGTTGTGACAGATAAAGTATATGTAAAATTATTTTTTCCTGCGGGTTTTTGTTGCTAGCAAAGATCAACATATTTGGAACATTATTTATGAATATGCCCGCGGTACTAGTGTTGACCTCACATATTCGGAAAGAAATGTAAGCGGATTAAAAAAAATTGACTTTTACCCCTGTTCACATTCTTGGCGTAATGTAAAAATTTCTATATTGTTTTTTCCTGAGTATGGGGTACCTTAGTCCTCACTACCATATTCAAATGCTACTTTGATACTTATTGAAACTGAATTTTTATACTACACTGTGCGACGAAAATCGTGTACGCAAATTGTCTTAAAATCGTTCGCATGGAGGTGAAGCCATTTGAAACATTATTGTCCAAATTTGTTTATCAAACCCTGTAGATACATAAAGATTCGCACTATTTATTGAGCACCCCTCGTATATGCTTACTCCTATTGATATCACTTTTCCCACTATACCGCATTCATGGACAAATCAAGTAACTTGACCCCTCAAACTTTTTAACCCTAGAAGGTCACAGAGGTTAATTTTGACCTTGCCTTTAATTTAAATTGTGTTGAGAAAATCGAGATGTGCAGCAAATCAAAAAATTGGGATAATCTAACCAACGAGCATTTTGCTATCATAGCAAACCCAACGCTCAACATGGTTGGGCGTTCAACGTCCTTTGGACGCAATGCAGTATGTAATCAAATAAAACCTCAAGTCCATTTCCTCTGCTTAACTAAAACCTAAAAAATTTCTAATGTTATAAAAAAATGAAAAAAAAACAACCATGCAAATGATGAATTCGTGAATTTTTTAATGCTTGTCAGAAACTTGTCAAAAATCTTGAAAACTTGAACTCGTGGAAAAGTTTTAATTGTTTGAGAACGCTAAGTCTGGTAAAATTTACAAATTAGTTATATGAACTTCTAGTAACAAGTTGATGGAACAAGGGAAGCTTTTGAATCTTGCACATGTTAATTTATTGATGATTTATTCAGTTATCGTGAAATCAACGTTACATATACGTAAGAAGCTTGGGTGAAAATGATCATGCATAGAATTGGCTGGTCTTTATGCATAATCACTTTATGCATATAACACGTCCATAATTCTGCATAATTCTAAAGAATTTATGCATATTGCATTAGGTATAAAAAACTATGCATAATTTATTACATATTGTTATGTTTACAAATGTTAACTTTTTTATGTGGAAAATTTTATATACAAATTATGTATCCAATCTTAGCAAGTTGTGCATAATTTGGCATAATTATACGCACAAATTCCATGCATAAAAACCGGCCAATTCTATGCAGGCCCATTTTCACCAAAGAGAAGAGGCCACATATGTATAAAAATCGGGATTTTTCGGTCACACAATTTACAGACATCCCTCTGCTACGTAACATGAAGTAACTAAATTCAAATTCAAAATAAGATTGAAGACAATCAGCCTGGAACTCGGGAAAAAATCAAATAAAAAATCTCAGACACAAAATTACATAACGTCGTACTAATTCATAAAAGACCTAAGTGCAGGCGATGCTAAATTCAGAAAAGACCTAAGTGCACAGAAAAAAAGTAAAAAAAGACCTATGTGCAAGTATGTATTTACATATGGCTAAATCTTGCCAAAATGATTTTTCATATATATCGCGCGATTTAGCCATAAGTAAATACATACTTGCACATAGGTCTTTTTTTACTTTTTTTTCTGTGCACTTAGGTCTTTTCTGAATTGAGCATCGACTGCACTTCGGTCGTTTCTGAATTAAACACCGACTGCACTTAGGTCTTTTCTGAATTTAGCATCGCCTGCACTTAGGTCTTTTATGAATTAGTACGACGATAAACTGATCGCCGAAGGAGGTGTGGAATTTTTAGCTGTATAGTATTTTTGAATGGCAGGTAATTAATGATGTTCATACATACATATGCACAGATTGTCGAGTTTTGTGAAATATTTGTAATTTTACATGTAAAATTTTGTCTCATTATTTCGTACTAACCATTTATGTACAAATGTTCCAGAATAAATTGGAACATTTTTGTTACATGTCTGGTGCATTTTCTTCCGGCATCGAAATTGTCAATATTTTTTTTTCTGTCGCATTTTACAAGAAGGCACACATGTCTGTCCCATCCAAGCCTGTATAAATAAATACGCAAATTAAGGAAATGGAGGATTCCGAAAAACTGGTAAAAGTGGAATGAGCAAAAAATGTTAAAACCACTCACACCGCATTCCCTTGCCTTTTCCTTGATAGTTGAAGCAGCCTACTCACATCACAGTTTACATGGTTAAGCCTTACCCTCACGCTCGGAGGAGAAGTTGGAGTTGGGGCAGTCTTCCCTCGTTTTGCGTAATGCATTGAATCGCCTATCTCGAAACTTCGCATCGACCCTGTGGGGGGGAGGAGTCGACCTCAGGGAAATGCATTCTCCGGTGTTTAGAATTTGGTTTTCTTCGTCTGATGGTATTTTTTTCAAATTTTTTGGACTGGCGCAAGGTACTCTTATGCCCCTTACCATCAAGTGATGTAACCTTATGTAGACTGGTAAGGGGCATAAGAGTACTTTTCGCCAGTCCAAAAAATTTGAAAAAAATACCATCAGACGAAGAAAACCAAATTCTAAACACCGGAGAATGCATTTCCCTGAGGTCGACTCCTCCCCCCCACAGGGTCGATGCGAAGTTTCGAGATAGGCGATTCAATGCATTACGCAAAGCGATTGAGAAGGATGAAACTGGGAAGACTGCCCCAACTCCAACTTCTCCTCCGAGCGTGAGGGTAAGCCTTAAAGCGGAAGCGATACAAATTTGGTTGGAATTTTTAGTAATATGGAGCCAAGTAAGATTTCCGAATCATAAATCTAGACTAATCGACAAGGCTTTGACGCCATTATACGCAACCAGGGTTTCATGAAATCTGTTCGAAAACTTGTTTTCTAACATTTTTGGTATCATTTCAATAAAACCACTGGCACATTCACGGTTCTGCTTACATATTATGTAATTATACAAATTTATTCTGACATATTTAAATACGGGTCAGCTTTTCGTGGTGGAGAATACACATGCACGTAACTAATTATACAAGCACATATATTTACAAGAATCTTATTGAGTAACAGAAATTATTTACAAAACAAAAATTATTAGTTCAAATTTATTTCCAAAAAGATTTAATCCCTTTGATTTAACGGGATTAATCTGCATTATCTTAAATTTAAAATTAAATTAAATTCAGACATTCTCTGACGAAGCACTGTCAAACAAATAGATGGTACAATGACACCGGACCAAAATAAATTTTTAGCCATCCAGCACTCGGATTTGGTTCAGTGCGTTCTCAAGTCTAGACTTTGCAGGTGCTGGAAATATTCAGTTGGAAAGCAAGAAAAATATCTGGAATTATTTCCGTAAGTGCAAAGCCATAGAAATTTTTAATGCTTTAATGAATTTTTAGCATACAAATGTTCATAAACCTTCTAATTTTCTAATTGACAGGAATCGTACACAGATTTCTGCGGAGTTTTCAAGAATTAATTTCCAGGATTTACGGTGAGTTCTCTTAATTTATCTGAGTTTGAATCCAAATAATAGTATACGTAGGATTCAGAAATTAGTGCACTCATGAATTAGGATAAATATGTTAGGGAAAGTACACTCAAAATAAGGTAGCAATGAATCATTACCATGCGGAATGACTATGTGGCTCTACCACGTCGGTTACGATTTGTCGTAGAAATGGTAATAATAAGTTCAGGGAAATTCAAATTTAATACATAATGGTATTCACTTCCTTAATATTTGGTAATGAATTTGAATTCCCCTGAACTTATTATTGCCATTTCTACGACAAATCGTAACCGACGTGGTAGAACCACATAGTCATTCCGCATGGTAATGATTCATTACTACCTTATTTTGAGTGTAGCTCTGATCTTCGTAAATTCAACCAAGTTTGACCAAAGTGAAAGCATTTTTAAGTGAATCGGGGTCTTCACGTCAATATGATGGCATTGTACCCTGCACTGCAAAATACAACCTACATTTTTCATAGTCTACAAAATCTAGCAAAATATTGAATCGTGAATCATCAATCTTTTCGTGAATCGTGTGGAAATGTATACATGTGCATTTCCACACATGATGAAAATATAAAACAAAAACCATTAAGTGCATAAAATCACTGCCTTTTCTTAGACACGTGGACTTACAAAATTACAGGGAAAGTTTTTAGGTGACAAAAAAAATCAAAACTGGATTTACGCTAATGTACATATTTCCATACATACATACATCCGTATCCACGAACATTTGGATACCTCAATTATTAAAGAATTTAAATAATATTCATCCCATTTACATTCATTAACATTTTTAACCATTAAAAATCTAAATGATCAGGGTCGCTCAAAAAATTATGATTAACTTAAAACCTCTCCCACATCTTGTATATGTATTCAGATCATACATGTTCACATTCATTCATTTTATGATGAATGAATAAATTATTCATTCAATGTTCACAATTTTGAATGAATATTTAATGAATATTTTATTCTGATTTTTGAATAAATGAATATTGAGTGAATATCTATTCAATTCGTGTGAATGAATAATGAATGAATATTTTTTCATCATTCATTTTTAAATCAATGCTTAATACATAGGGAAAGTTAAGAAATTCATCTAATACTGTGAATTTTGAATAACATGAATAATGAAGGAATGAATGAATAATGAATAAATGTTGAATAATTAATGAATATTTTTTTTTACAAATTATGAATGTTGAATAGGGAATAAATATTTTTTTCAAGGCTTTGAATGAGCGAACTTTGAATGAATAAATATTTTTTAACATGTATGATTCAGATGTCTGGCGCAAAGGTCGAATTCCTCTTCAGGTGCGTGAACCACAAGGCGTTTGGGCCCAAATCGGTCAGCTCCTACTTCACCAGGATTGACTGCCCCTCGAACAAGATCCAATCTGCCCTGCAACCTTAGCTCGGCTGGTGGACGCTCTCCTCCTCTGGTGTCGCGACTACTTTCCCGATGTCCAACAAAATCCACATTATTACAAGGAGACAGCCCTCGCCTCAATATACTACATCTGTTATGGTAACCCCTTGTGTAGCGTGACCTCTCCGGAGATGGACATCGCCATCAAGTTTGCCATGTGGCTCTGGCTCTTTGACGATGCGATGGAAGACCTTAGCCGCAAAAACATCGACCCCTCAGTCTTTAAGGAGGAAACGGATCGTATCGGGAAAATCACGCAGGGGTGTTTCGACCCTCAACGAGCCGCTCCTCCCCCACAATGTCCCGCCCAGACCACCCCACCCCCACCGAGTAAGGACGATGTGCAAACCTTATTCTGGAATTTTGGCAACTCTCTCTACGCCTGGCATCAACTGGCTGGTCGAGCCATTATGGAATACTCGCGTAAAATGAGACGTTTTAACGTCTGCATGGCCACCTATATGCAAGCCCTGCAGTGGATGAATATTTGCCATATTGACGGCAGATATTCGGAAACGACTTTTAAAGCTTTTAGAAAGCCAAACTCTTATTTTTGCGGGATTGCGGAACTGTTAGCGGTACTAAATAATGTCGACCTTGGCGGCAACGTTATCGTGCGCCTCCGGCTTGAAGTCTTTCTTCAGACCGAGCACGTCATTCGTGAAGGCCCCTATGCTTGTTAAAGAGTCGACCACGCGGTTGAAAATCATCCCATCCTCAACCCCGTNGGTTGAGGATGGGATGATTTTCAACCGCGTGGTCGACTCTTTAACAAGCATAGGGGCCTTCACGAATGACGTGCTCGGTCTGAAGAAAGACTTCAAGCCGGAGGCGCACGATAACCTCGTGGTTTTTAAGGTTATCGAAAAAAATAAAAAACTCGAAACTGCCGTGAACCAGGTGTGCCATCTCATTTCGGAAGAGGTGGCCGACTACGGGCAACTTAAGAGGGTGCTCCTCCATCAAACGGGGGAAAATGAAGGGGTAGAAAAATATTTGCAGGTTTGGGAGGCCTTGCTGCACGGGCATCTTCGCCTGTACGCGGAATGTACGAGGTACCGGTGTTGTGGGGAGGTTACCATTAATTAGGGATTAATTGTATGAAATTTCGAAACCCGATTTTTTTTAATTACGGAAAGGGTGGGCAAGAAACTATTTAATTTAATATTTAGTTTGGAAATCCGAAATTTTTTCTGTCCAGCCCAAGTTTGTGAAGTTACTGTGAAGCTACTTCTAAATTAATTGTCTTGAAAAAAATCACAAATTCCAAAATATATTTGAAATTTTTGATAATGGTAAAAAATCGGTTCAAAACACTCTAAATTTCACTAAATTACCGCGTAGTCCCTTCGTACTCGCACCAACGAAAGATGATAGCCTTTTCAAAAAATGCAACCTACTGGTCAGGAAATTGGACAGTAGTACATGAGTTTGAACTACATGGAAATTAATGTTACCATTTTACAATTAAGGTGACTAACTTACAATGGAGACGCAAACCATGTTCAGCCCAGATTATTTTTTGACCATGTTAGTTTGAAGAGCAAGTCTTTAGAAACAACATTTGGTCCGGCACTTGCGCAGATGCGCAAAATTCAGCACGTTATGGGCGCCGGAAGTTCGCAAAAAACGCACGATTTTTCGGGCAATGCCCCAGCGCGAGCTCAACTTCGTGCGTTTTTTGCGAACTTGCGGCGCCCATAACGTGCTGAAATTTGCGCATCTGCCCAAGTGCCGAACCAAATTTGTTTGTATAGACTTGCTCTTTCAAACTAATAAGGTCAAAAAATTATCTGGGCTGAACATGGGTTGCGCCTCCATTGTTAGAAGCATGGTGACTCGATGGGGCAAAAGACGGCGAAAAAATTATTCCACTTGTTAAAGTGTAACAATGTTTGTTACCTGTTATGCAAAGCTCGGTAAAAATTTACAAAACAAGCAGAGCAAATTGTGTGAATGAGTGCAATCCTATCATCAAAAATTCAATAGCTATTAATTTTATGTTCTTAACGATATTTGTACAAGTCAGGATGTGTGTTATTTATTAAAAGTGTAATACATACATATGCATTTTTGGCTCAATTTGAGTATTAATAAACATATGAGTTTGATGTGAGTATTTCATGTTGCGTTTGAAGGAAATGAATTTGAAATGTAAAAATTAATCGGATAGCTGAATTTTAAATCTGTCAATTTTTTAGGTGGTAATCGATCCCTTAAACTCGTGGCACCTCGGTAAAATTGGAACTTTGTACTGGATCATAATAAAAACTGTGGTCACTTTTATTTAAATTGACAGATTGAAAAATTATAATCATCGAAAATATACTAAAAACGGCCATTTTTGAATGTATGCATGTATTCCAATTTATGGTTTGAGGAAATCTGTAATAATCAGTGCACGACTCGAAAAGTCGAACCCGCGCCGAAACCACAGAAATTGAACTCCCGGGTTCGAACTCGGATTGGAGTGAAGCCGAACCAGGAAACCGGGTTCGAACCCAAACCCGTGCCAAGTTCTGGTAATAACTATTCGCAAATTTCATCCGAAGGACGTTTTATGTATAATCTACATAAATATATGACAATGCCTTGTTTGTCTTAAATTAGCATAATCCAGCAATAAAATAAAATTTGGTGACGAGGCAAACGACAAATTGAGGGAGATGGACCGATTACCTTTTGTTAACGGGCTTAAATAATAAATTATCAAAGTTGCAGTATTTATTTCCTCCTTTATTTTTTACAGACGCCCGATTCTCCAGCCCCCGCGCCAGTCTCAACGCCCGTGCCAACAGGAAGCGTGGTAAGTGACTTCCCACTAAAAATCTCCGAAAAAAGACCCATCGACAAACTTGAAATGGAGGTCTCCAAACATCTGCTTTGCAGATTTTGACCAAACTAGTGTCAAATTTAATTAGTATGAAATTTGCAAACCACACGATTTCTCAATGTGCACGTTTTGGGGAGATATTTGTATCCGAAGAGGAGAAAACCTGTCGTAAAGGTGACAAATTTTACACTTGCCGAAACATCGCGTTTCCGCCAAACATGTCCGTTGGAAGATTATGTCGTTGCCTAATTTCATATTAATTAAATTTCCGATTGACAGTGATCGATTGACACTGATCTGATCAAATTTTATTAGCATACGCTGGGACACCTCAATTTTCGAATTAGAATATTTTAAACGAAACAATTAGAATATTATTTAGAATATTTGACGAAACTTATGCATTTCAGCGCTCTCATGCTCGCCGTACTCGGATTCCTTCGACATCAACTCCATGATCCGGTTTTCGCCTTGCTTGGTGTCCTTAGTCAATGGGTCCAGAGGGTCTTCGGCCGCCAGCGGGTCGTATGGTCATCTCTCCGCCGGTAAATATAATCCATTCACATTCATGCATTTCTAACTTTCTATTATGTTTTATTGTCTGCTTGATCCCATAATTTATTATTTCGGGACATTGCCACAAGTTCCATAATCTTGTCCGGAGAAGAAAAGAGTCGGAAAATTGGACGCTGCTCCTGTTTCCGTGTGAATGTCTTCCTCCCATTCTTTTCAAAGCGAGTCTTAATTTTCTCCCCGTCCGCAATGGACGCGTATGCAAATGGAGGGAGGAAGAGATTAGGTGATGGATGTGATGACGGCTAATTTTCCGTCGTTGTTAGTCCACGGTTTCATCAAAGGATTAAAAAGTCATCGGTCCCTCTTTACAAATTAACACGGTCCGATGATGAGACAAGTATTCATTCTCGGATTAAAAACTTCGAAATGACCGTGAATCCATTATTTGGAAGGAGTACGGACAGTTACATCTGCATATTCGCTCCACATACATACGTTCATAAAGAAGTAGCCTGCAGTAGCGGACATTATTGTATGAACATGCCAGTGTTTCGTTAGTGTATAGTGCATAAAAGTGCATTACATAAATGCACAAAATAAATAAAAAGCCATAAAATTGAATGAAACGCTATTAATACAGGGAATTTCGTAGTTTCCAGAAATTATAAATTTTCCTACTATCTCAAAGATAATATCCGGTTATCTAACCTTCTAAACTGATTGGGAACCTTATAAAAACACTATTTTCTTAATTTCTTAATTACTCAAATATTTAGAAAAATTTACAATATTAAAATATTAGGTGTTTACAAAATGTTGACTTTTAAGTGTACCGACCACTTATAAGTCGTTTCCACTTTTAAGTGACACTGCGCGAGCATGCGCAGTAGCTAGTATTTCACTTATAAGTGATCGGAAAATAAGTCTCCTGGATTGATTTTTTCTGGAATAAGACACTTATTTCGCTTGTTTTGAGCATCAGCTGCCGTTGAAATTTCACTCACTCAAATTTGCTGCAGGGCACTTGCTGCTCAATAAATTATTTTTCAATCGAGTTTTAATCCGTATTCAAGTTATTTAAAATGGTGCATAATTGAAATTAGTTTAATTACGATAGTGCAGTGAAATATTTAAAATGGGGAGTTCAAATGAGAGTGAAGATTAAATTTTCAATCATTCCACTTCATAAATATCATGTAATTGATATATTAGGCAAGAATTGAAAGGTTGTACCTATTGTTGAAGTTTTAGGTCTTTTTAAAGCTACTATGTTTGTTTTTGCAATGATTTTGACGTTTAATGGAATTCGGTCGCCTGAATTGCATGCAACATAAAATTTAAACAAAAAGTGGAGCATTCAAATAGAACCCACTTATAATTGATTTATAGAAATGACTTATAATTTGTGGGAAAACCAAAATAAGTCGATTGTAAACTCCTAATAATTTGACGCCTTCAATTTTGCAAAATTTTAGACAATAATTTGATTCTTTAAATTTTCTGAAATTTTGCCAACTTTTTGCCCAAAATGCTGACCGATCGAGCAATTTCTGCTGTGCATTGCCTCCTCGACGTGGGGAGTGGTTTGAAACTCTTCCCCTTCGATTGGGATCCGAAAGAAAAATGTGTCAGAAGGGCCGGAAAACGGCACCGGTTTTATTTCAAAATTCATAAATTTATAAACATTGCGATGAACGTTTTTGCCGCGGTGAGACTCGTGCAAGCCTTGCACAGGGGGAAATTCCCCCTGCTTTTACGCGTACTAAACACCGTGTGGATTTTTGCGTATACGTTGACCATGATCTGTTTCGTCCAGTTTGATAGGAAGGAGGGTGAAATTTTCAATTTGTTAATTGCTTGCTCGCTTATGTGAAACGGACGTCGAAAAAAGGTGAGAATACACTCTTAGAAATGGGGTTACGATTACAACAAAAAAGTAAACGTATGTGACGCTACCACCGTGGTTATGAATTTGTCATCGAGTGGTTACAATTGTCACTGACTAATTATAAAGTTTCACCGAAGTAGTATTAAACTGTCACCAGAGCTAATAAATTTATAACTTAACCACGGCGGTAGAGTCACATACGTTTACTTTTTGGTTATAATCGTAACCCCATTTCTAAGAGTGTACTTAAGGTTCTATTGGGTAACGAGTTGATTTGGTATAGATTTTAATGTTACTTTGCCCGTATTCAATTTGTTTAAATAAAAATTCCTAAAATGGCATCAAGTTCACGAATTTTTAGAATAAATGCAACTTTTCATACGGTAATGTAAAGTTAATTTTTGATACTACCAAAATATAGATTTGAAAAACTTGCCAACTCATTTATCATTTTTTAGCAATAAATTTCCTGAAGTTAAATCTCTAATTTTTTCAAAAATTTACTTTACTTGAAAGTATGAAAAGCTGCGTTTATCCTAAATAATGACGCTTGAGAAATTTGCATAATTTCTCTCGAACTCATTTCAAACCGAAAATGTATGAATTTTTTAAGAAGCCTCCAATAATTTCTTTATACAAATTTTAATTGAAAATGTGGATGATTTTGGTTGCAAAATTGAAATATTTTTGCGAACGCTTTCTTAAGCAAAATATCTATGTAAATATAATTTTCGGTAGATCTGGATTTTCATACTTCGAAAAATTTACAACTTCATGTTATATTTCCAGTTTTGCCAGATTATTCTGCTCCTCCTCAGTTGAAGCTGCCCAATAATAACGAGCAAAGATTGACACGATTAAGTATTCAATTTGACATCTTGGAGGAAAAAGGAAAGCCGGATTTCGTCAATACGTCACAAGTCGACCATATTTTGACGAATAGCGAAATCCAAGCGTCGAGAAGTCCAAGTCGAAAAAGTGTCGACACTCCACGTTGGGATGACGTTACATTTTTCAAAACTGAAGAAGAGGACAAAATCGAGTCCGCAAATTATGACGACGTGCCAAAAAATGTGATCCCAAAAATTGAAATTAAACCTGAAGAAGAAAAGGAGTCTGAAATGGAGGAGGTCATGGAGGACGAATTAAGGTGCGATTGGATGGCGATTTTATTTGTTGTGTCATGGATTTTTAATCTCACTCTACCCCGATTAAATCTCTTTAAGTGCAAATTTCTAAAGTTTGCAGATTTTGATTAAAATTTCAGAGTTTGAAAATTTGAGTTTTCAGATAAATGCAATTTTTCAAAATTTCATGTAATGTAAATTTACTGAATTTTTGTGTAGTAAACTATACAAAATTCTGTTAGTTTTCAACGTCACAATGCAGTTTTTAAGAAAAATGTTGATTTAAATACGTGCAAAGGTACAGTTTGGTTTGTTGTGCAAGTTAAGGTCAAATCTTACTTTTTTTAAATATGATTCAAAAATCGCATGCATACTTTTTTTACTTAAGGTTACATGAGGATTTTCTGCGTCATAGATTTGAAATCTCGCTTTACCCCTCTTGAAGTGCAAAATTTCTAAAGTGACACAAATTTCATGAATTTTCAGATAAATGCAGTTTTTCATATTTTTATGTAAAGTTAACTTTTAGTACTAAAAAAAGTATTTAAGGTATTCAAGGTATTTTAAAAACCTGCTAATTCATTTGAAATTTTTTCACATTAAATTTCTCCAAAAATAAACTCCATGATCTTTTTCAAATCGATAGTTTTGAAGTACCAAAAATTAACATTACATTAAAATATGAAAAATTCCAAAATTCATGAAGTTGATGCAATTTGAGAAATTGGCATGCAAAGAGATTGAATTGGGGTAGACTGAGATTAATGGGTTATAACGGCCTTATTCCACGTTAAGGTCGAATTCCGAACGTGACTCTGCCGCCGTGACGAAGTCCGTGTCACGCTACATTCTCGTCGGGATGTTGATGTTGGCGGGAAATCCGTTTGTACACATTTTACTTGTGGAGGAGAGCCCTTGCACGCCAAATTTCATCAGCTCTCTCTTCCTGCCGTGTGAAGGGTTCAAAAATCATGGCGTTTCCCTCCTTCAAAAGGCGCCCTTCATCGGGGTCGAGTATTACTTGACGACGGTTATTTTCTTCTCGTGGTCATTTAACTGGACCATAATTTATTTGGGGATGTCCTGGATCATTGCGGAACTTAGAGTTATGTCGTAAGCATACCTGTTCAAAAATTCATTTTTCATTCATACAGTTTAAATCATTCATCCTGATTTCCGACGGAAGATTTTCCTTCACATTCAGTCATTTTCCGTCAGACTCATTTCATTTCACTTCATCTGCCTTCATTCCTACTTCACCCCATGTATTAAGCATATTGAAAAAATGAAAGCAGTGAGATATCCATTCATTCACATTCACTCATCTGGAATTATTGAATCCTTCTATCATTTTCATTGAACTGAAAGAAAATTCATCTTCACTCAATATCATAATCAGTCAAATGAATGAAGTGTGCAGGTATGCTTGAAAGAATAAATGCAATGCAAAATCCCCAGAGTACTATTTGGTTTATAAAAAAAAGTCGTAAAAATCTGTATTCTCTACTAGTCAATTTATTTCAATAATTTCGTTTGACACTCAAAATCTTAGATAAGAATTGGGCTGCCCAATTATTGGGCACGAATCTATCATGTTTTTAAGTATTAAAATTTTCTAGAATGTTTTGTTTTGGTGTCAAACTCTTACTTTTTAAAACGTGTATGATTTCCTTCGTAAACCTTATCCAATCGAGATTAAAATTAATGTCATCCCAATTTCTGAGTGAACATCTCCAGTTTCGGAGATATTTGCATCCGAAGAGGGAAAACAAGGAGTATTACATATTTGTTTGCGAATTTTTTTTTTTGCGACTGTATTTTGCTCAAATTGAGGTCACGAGTGTCAATTTATAGTTATATCGCTTGGATTATCGTATTTGACAAATATCGCAAATACTGTAGTTTTCGCAAACTTTTTGCAGGGAAGCTTTATCCACAAAGGTTGGATCCTCCGTGCATCAGTACCGTTCCATCGAGTGCATCGCGACCTTAATGAATGACGCATTTTTCATGTACCTTTCAACGTTTCCGAACCTTCTCTTCGCCATCGTGTCCATTCTGATGTTTAGCTTCATACGCATTTGGCACTACTCACCCAGATCCAATCTCATGTTGTAAGTCTTGGCTAAGCATTTTGATAATAATAAAAATCTCACATTTTACTATTACACAATGGAACCTTTTTTCAAGCTACAACGGAATTTTCTAACAAGTTATATCAAAAAATCGAGCCAAAAATTAGGAACCACACACATGACACTTATAATTCCGTTGAATGGCCCCTTTCAAGAAAAATATTGGTGGTCAAAGTACCCACGAGCGCCTTGGTTTTCGCTTCGTGGAGAGAAAGGGAGAGAAAGTTTGCTAAAAAATTGAACTTCATTGCAAATATTTTTTCTTCAAAGGGACCATTCAAAGGAAAGATAAGTGTCACGTGATTCCTAATTTTTGGCTTGATTTTTTGACATAACCCGCTAGAAAATCCCGGTGTAGCTGAAAAAAGGTCAGTAAAACTAACTTGTATGATTTCCGAGTCTTTGTTAATTTCTTAAACTTTGATTTTGACAACAACGCATCTAATTAAATTGCATCTTATTTTAATTTGTATATTAAACATTTTTTCGACGTTATGCTTTTACATGTTGCGACCAGATTTGTAATTCATATGAAATTTTGTATTAAGCAGTGTAGCCTGAAAAAAAGTTCCATAGTTAATTAAACTGTATTTAACAGTCCGCTGTGCGGGATCCGGTGCGCTTTCGAGGCCGTGACCCCGCTGGCCGTGGCGGGCGACGTGAACGACCAGAACAAGGAGGTCGTCGCCAAGTGGAAGCAGGGCGTCGTGGCGCGGAGGGCGTCGAACAGGGCGAAAAAGGAGGCGATCGCGTACCAAAAGTCGTTCCACGCGGTGCGCTGCACGGCCGGGTCGTTGTACACGTTCGAAAACTCCATCGTTCTCTGCTGTCTGAATAATTGTATGCAGTTGACGCTCAATTTATTCCTCACGTTTAAATAGAGAGGAGAAAGTTGCGTGAAATTTGTGTTAACAATTTTGGGCGAGTAAAAAAAATATAAAAGTAAATAAATATGTATGTATGACCTGTGACCAATTTGTTCAAAATTTGGCATGATTTATTTATACCAACAATTTTCACCCACCCCTTTCACATGTCTAAGTTTTGTACAATATGCAGCTCAGGCTCATTTTTATCCACAATTTTAAACAGTGAGAGAAGGTTACATGCAATTTGTGTGGACATATGTAATAATTTTGAGCGAGTCTGTAAAAGAATAAATAAACAAATACATAAACGTGACCTGTTTTTCACCCTATTTTTCATACTTTTCACGAATCATTTTCTAATTACTGATTATATTGTTTTACATTTTGGTATTTTTGGTTGGACAAAATTGTTTGCAAATTTTAATGTTGCGAAAAATATTGCTTTTTGTTGCAAAAAAATAAATTTTGGTTCGACACTTACCCATTATAACCCAAACGTTTAAATAGCGAGTTAAGGATTTATTAAATTTGAGCGCTTTTATGATTTTCAGTTTGGCGAAAAATGTGCATTTTTTTACTTTTAAAAAGCGAGTTAGGGATTTTTTAAATCTGAGTTTTTTTTATGATTTCTACTTTGTGAAAGGTATGTATTAAATTTTGGTGGTTTTAAGATTAAATTGAAGGTTTATTCCGTAGTTAAAATGCAATTAAAACTAAATTTTGATAACTTCTTTGTCAGCATTAAATCGAAATGGTTAGTGATTTACTCGAGCAATTAGGGTCAAATTATTAACTTAATTTTTAGTCGTGGCGAGGAAGACACGTGCGGCGAAACGAGGTGATCGTGTATCAAAAGTCGTTTAAAAATTGAGAAAATTTAACGCCATAAAACAAATTCGGATGGATTTTAATAGTTAAAATTGTAATGGATCGTCAACCTTTACAGAGGTGGCCAAAATCCTTTGCTGACCAATGTAACCTAAACAAAATGGAGTATTTTAAGCTCGGTTCTTCTTAGGTTTTGGATTTCTGGGGTTGTTACACCCAGAAAATGGCGAAAATCTACCTCGAAAAGACAACAGTCAGTCGAAAATACATATGTATTTAATAATCCGGTAAAATCACGCAGGTAAAGATTTCTCGGTAATAATATTTTACCAGGTAGTAAAAATTCGTTACCATGATGGTAAAACTTTATTACCAAGTCATTACCACACGGTACAACGTATCATTATCACTTTGGTAGTCATATACTTGTGCTTTTCGGTAACGTTTATTACCAGATTATTTACAGTGCAGGTTTTGCGAAGCAATTAACGTTTCATCGCGGTCAAAATACATTGTTATCACGAAGTTTTAAACATACAGAATTTTGACGATAAAAGTTCAATTTTCTAAAAAAAACTCGTATTTTAGACTAACTTGTCAAGTCGGAGTAACTGTCACATAAAACTCAAGCTTGTAGAATAGAGTAACTCGAAATACTTCAATTTAATAAAACACATCGCGGGTAACAATATATCTAGCATACATATTTTAAACAATTGCAATTCTCGAGAAATTTTTCTGGTGTCAAAGTTAGCAAATTCTGACAATTTGATAATTTTCAGAAATGTTTTGATAATTTTCAGAAATGTTTTTGTTTTCTGAGGAAATTGATTTTATATCGCTATCAAAATATGTACTTCATGGATGCCGGAAAACATGGTTAGAGGAGAAATTCAACTTGTTTTTTTAAACTAATTTTAATTATGAACTTTTAGATATAATCAGTTCAATTTTCATTACGGTTGAAGCAAAAAAACTAACATGTTTTTCAACTAATTTTAATTGTTAACTTTTTGATGTAATCAGTTAAATTTTCATTACTCGGACGGATCCAGGGAACAGGGACGATTAAACATTTGTCCGCCGGAACGAATCCATTTGTTGGCCACTGCAAAAATAAAAGTGAAAGTTGTAAATTTTTACTTTCACTCGGGGAAAAATATTTCAGTCATAGCTCGCAATGGACAATGGACCATGGACCACAAAAAAATTGGTCCATAAATGGACCATGTACCAATTTACTGCGAGCTATGATTCCAGTTATCAATTAAAAAAATGAATTAAACACTTTACATAACTTAAAAATATTGAGTCTTTTAAATTCATTTTTTATATTTCAGAAATATTTTTCCCCGACTGAAAATAAACATTTACATGTTTCAGACATCATAACTGCAAACATTTTTTATAACTTCCTTACTTTACAGATATTTCAGAGAAATCTACACGAGTTCATCTGAAAATATTCATTTTGGAATTTTTTATTTTGCTATTTTTATTTTGCTAATTTTATTTTCCGGCTTCGAAGAATTACATGCATGTGAGATAATTGCGTTGTGTGCAAATACTATTTAAATCAAGACGCATTACTCGATGTCTCATCGTCAAAATCAACACATTTTTAATCGTTTCACTCTTCTGGGAATTTATTTTAAAATTCTGAACAACAAATTTGCAGTCAGTGAGTTTTTTAATGGGATGAGTTTTTTCAACCAGTTTTGATGAGTTCCAATTTTTCTAAAGGCTTCTTAAACTTGAGAAATCCTCCTTCAAAAGTGTCAAAATCTGGAGTGTATATATTTAAAAAGTTGGTAACTCACTGCTCTTCAAATTTTTCGTTCACAATTTTATAATAAATTCCCAAAGGCGAAAAATGATTAAAAATGTGCTGATTTTGCCGATTTTGGTGGTAGAACATCGAGTCCTGCGTTAAGTAGTTAAGTGCAAATTCATTCAAATATTTTAAACTGCGCAGTGTAATATGTGTGATTCTTCAAAGCAGGAAAATAAAGGTTTCACGACAAAAAATATAAGCACACATTTTCAGATTCAGTTTGTTTGTAAATAAATTAAAGTAAAATTTCACTGAAATGTTTGTAAAGTTCGCAAGTTACGAAAGATGTATGCAGTGAGCATGTCTGAAATATGTATTTTTTTTGTTTTACTCAGGGAAAAATATTTTAAGTCTACTGCACACGTTTTTTTATTGGTTACAAATTCAGTAAGTGAGCAATTCGCGGATTAAATGGTGTAAGATTTTGCAAAATTACGCAATTTAAGGAACCCTGACGTGCTGGATTTCTATTCTTTAGTTTTAATTGTAATTTTTGTTGACGAGGTAATCAAGTTCTAAATTTCAAAACTCAGAATATATTCTGATCTGAAGTATAATTCAAATTTTAATCTACCCGAATTTTGCTGATGAAGAGTTGTTGTCAAGCAAAATGTGAATCAAAATTCAGCTGAAAAATTCCCGTAGATAAAATTTGTTAGTCTAATTTTTGGAAATTTAAAACCCTGTGTACGAAAATTACTATCCAAAATAAAGTATTTTAACCCTTTTGAAGAGTAAAATACGTAAAGCATATTCTAATTTTTAAAAGTAAATCTTTAACGTCGAAAACGAAAATTTTAAGAATAAAGAATGTCTAAAGTAGTAATTAGATACAGTTTATTGAAAAAATGGATTTCAGAAAATTGTCAAAATTTAAAAAACAAGTTTTTCAAAATCTTATAACAGATTGACAAATTGTGTACCACATTTGAGCCTCTAGTTTTTAAGAAGATGGTAATTCTTTAAGGTTGGAAAATAATACTTTATGAACATAAAGAGTATTTAAAGTAATTTTGAGATTGAAAATGAACGGTAAATTTCAGAAACTTCAGAAATTTCAGGAACCCAATTTAAGAAAAAAATCCTTTAAATTCCAACCATAATTAATAAATTATGTAAATATCGCAGAGTCTGGTGGTGGCAGCCAACAGAGAAGCATCGAGTCCGACTGACAAGGGACACTCACGACCTGTCGTTTGAGTCCAGGGTACCCACCATGTTTTTTAGAATCTACTAGGACCCCAGATGAAGGATGCATTCATATTTCCGTGTAAAACTCATATTTGGCGTTGTGCCGTGGCGCCAAACTTAAAAATTTTCATTTTCGACCAACTTCAAACCGTCATAACTTTTGCAGTTTATGTCGGATTTTCAAAATTTTATGCTTAAAATGATCACAAAAGTCGAAATTTTTGACAAAAAAATAAAAATAAAAAATTTATAATTTTTGAAATATTTCTAGCATTTTTTCAACGAACCCCCATTTCTAAGAAAATTACAAAATTTTGCGAAAAGTTAAAAGCGATAATTTTGGAAAAAATTTCATGGGATAAGAAAGTTGAACTCCTTGTCATGATTTTTGCCAAAAATTTTGGAAATCCGTCCAGGATTTCAAAAGTTATGGCGGTTTCAAAAATAAAAACATTCAAATTCGGCGACTTTGGCGCCACGGGACGACGCCAAATATGAGTTTTACACGGAAATATGAATGAATCCTTCATCTGGGGTCCTAGTAGATTCTAAAAAACATAGTGGGTACCCTGGACTCAAACGACAGGTCGTGAGTGTCCCTTGTCAGCTCCGCTCATTACACTTTCTCACACGTCTTTTTGGTTTAACAAAAGTGGAAAAACAGTACGTACTCCACCACAACAAAGTGATAATAGAGACACTTTTTCACCATCAATTACACCAAGAAGTGCATACGGAGTTGTCACAAAAGAGGGGGACGGAAAAAGACCAAGAGCAAGCACAAGTAGTTCATCCACCCACTCTGACTTGTCTCCAACACTACAAAGTGTGCTAAAAAAGGGAGAACTTTAAAGGACCAGATTGAACAAGAATTTGGCGAAATGGAACAGCTCGCATCAAAGTTAGATATGTTGTGCAAGAAATTTGACGAACGTTTTGACCAGCTCACCAAAGATATTGGTGAGCTGGGAAGAAATCACGAATTACAATTGAGAGGTGTTAAAATTGCTATTAAAGCTTTAGCAGGAGAGAGGCGCAGCAGAAATTTAATTGTGTTGGGAGTGCCAGAATTTAAAAATCAACAGACTGGAAGATCTGCCACCCCTTACTCAATCTCTGCTTTGTAATGGAATAAAAATTGTAATGTTTATATCTTAATGGGATCATGGCCCGAGGGAAGATTAGTATCAATAAATCAATCAATGTAAATATCGATTTGATGCTCAAGCTTTTAAAAATTTGTGACCATTAAATTGAATTGAAAATAAAATTAAAATTGTAAATCTTTCACGTTGAAATCGGAAATTTAAGGAATAAAGAATACTTAACGTAATAATTAGATACATTTCGAATCAGTGATCTGGAACGAGCGTAAATTTCAGAAAATTGTCAAACTTTTAAAAAATACGATTTTTGAAAATTTTAACATAGTATACCCCATTTGGTCCCCTAGTTTCTGAAAATATCACAGAATCCTATCAAAAAAAATTTTAAGGAGAAAGAATAAATAAAGTAATTATCAGATTCAAGCAAGCCAAAAATCAAATTCAGAAACTTGTCCAATTTTTTTAAAAAAACATTTTCTTTCAAATTTTAACTAAAATTGATAAATTTTATTATTTATATATTTTTTTTATTTATTTATTGATATACTAGCGTATAAGCCCGTCTCCCGCCGGGCGAGCGAAAATTATGAGCTGGTAATGTCTGTTAGCAACGGAATTAAAAGCAAATTTTCCGCAACGAAAGCGAGAGTAAAGAAAGTCAAGTTTCGAATGGCGCGAAAATAAAAACAAATTAATTTCAAAAAATGATGGTAGTTATGTTATTGTATGTACTATCTGTATGTGGGGTGACCAGACTACTCATTAATAGAGACAGCCAGGCCAACGGCGGTAGCACATTAAAGGTTATGGTTATCTTGACCATTTCGCTGCGATGTGAAGTAGAAGTGAGGTCAATGTCGACTCACTGAGTATAGTATCATGTCGTAGTAAAGTAAATAATATCCTGGCTGGCTAGCACCTTCGTCATAATATTTCCCTATGTGTTTTTCGTTCGCGGTGTTTCTTAAATTAAATTGGAGATGCAATTGCATTAAAGTAAAACCCCAAACCTCCGCCTTCAAACTATGAACTACGATGCCGTATCGTACTCAATTAGGTAAATGGGCCTCAGGAGGACAACCCTTCACCGACAGAATCACCGATTTCGATGCCCTTTGGATATGTTGTAGTCCTAGGTGAGTCTAGCAAAAGTGAAGAAGGATTTCATTCAATGGCCCCATTTGCGCCCGCCACACCCACTCAAAGGTGTGAAAAACACGAAAAGACCCTGTTTTCGTTCATTCAAAAAATCACCAAAATCCTATTTTCATCGGATTTTCATAATTTAAGCGTTTTTGTGATCTTAGATAGTTGCTTTATCATATCCAATAGCTAACTCAATTTTTTTAATTTTTTGAGTATTTTCGAAAATTTCCTGACCAGGGGTATGCCTTCGAAAAAATCAAAATTTCAAAAAAATTGAGTTAGCTATTGGATATGATAAAGAAACTATCTAGGATCACAAAAATCACACACACACACAATCACAAAGATCACACTTAAATTATGAAAATCCGATCAAAATTGGATTTTTGGTGATTTTTTGAATGAACGAAAACAGGGTATTTTTCGTGTTTTTCACACCTTTGAGTGGGTGTGGCGGGCGCAAATGGGGCCATTGAATGAAATCCTTCTTCACTTTTGCTATACTCACCTAGGACTACAACATATCCAAAGGGCATCAAGATCTGTGATTCTGTCGGTGAAGGGTTGTCCTCCTCAGTCGAACTTTCTCCGACAATTTTTGTATGCTCATGGCTCTTTCCTACTCCACTCCACTCCGCAGTAGAGTGACAACTTTTGTTTGCTCGCGACTCGCTCCCACTCCACTCCCACTCCACTCCGCAGTGGAGTGAAAAATTCTGAGTACTCGTGTCTGACTCCCACTCCACTCCCACTCCACTCCGCAGTGGAGTGAAAAATTCTGAGTACTCGTGTCTGACTCCCACTCCACTTCCACTCCACTCCGCAGTGGAGTGAAAAATTCTGAGTACTCGTGTCTGACTCCCACTCCACTTCCACTCCACTCCGCAGTGGAGTGAAAAATTCTGAGTACTCGTGTCTGACTCCAACTCCACTTCCACTCCGCTCCGCAGTGGAGTGAAAAATTCTGAGTACTCGTGTCTGACTCCCACTCCACTTCCACTCCACTCCGCAGTGGAGTGAAAAATTCTGAGTACTCGTGTCTGACTCCCACTCCACTTCCACTCCACTCCGCAGTGGAGTGAAAAATTCTGAGTACTCGTGTCTGACTCCCACTCCACTTCCACTCCACTCCGCAGTGGAGTGACAAATTTCGAGTACTCCGTCTGACCCCCACTCCACTTCCACTCCACTCCGCAGTGGAGTGACAAATCTAACTAATTTCAACTTCACTTAGCAGTGAAATAATCACCCAGCATAGCTACTATTAGACAGCCACTCCCAGATAAGCACCATCAGACAACCACTCCCAGATAAGCACCATCAGACAACAACTCCCAGATAAGCACCATCAGACAACCACTCCCAGATAAGCACCATCAGACAACCGCTCCCAGATAAGCACCATCAGACAACCGCTCCCAGATAAGCACCATCAGACAACCACTCCCAGATAAGCACCATCACAGAACCACTCGCAGATAAGCACCATCAGACAACCACTCCCAGATAAGCACCATCACACAACCACTCCCAGATAAGCACCATCAGACAACCACTCCCAGATAAGCACCATCAGACAACCACTCCCAGATAAGCACCATCAGACAACCACTTCCAGATAAGCACCATCACAGAACCACTCCCAGATAAACACCATCACACAACCTCTCCCAGATAAGCACTATCAGACAACCACTCTCAGATAAGCACCATCAGACAACCGCTCCTAGATAACTAACATCTGACTCCTAATTTTTGAATTTTTAATTTGTTTTGAATTTTCGCGCCATTCAAAACTTAACTTACTCCACTTTCACTTCCGTCACGGACAAATTACTTTCACTTCCGTTGCCAACAAACATTTCCAGCTTATAAGATAGATGGCCTGCAGCCCTGATCAACATGTGCCACATCTGCCACCTCTGTGGGAGGAGCTTCCGGCTCCTCGAATACCTGCGGCGTCACGTGAAGGGGAAACATGAGACATCCAAATCCAAGGCGGTCACGTGCGACACGTGTGGAGAAAAGTTTGCGTATCGGAACCGACTGAACGCCCACCGGATCCGGGAGCACGGGGCCCTTAGTTTGCCATGAGTGTGGGACCACTTTCTCCAGTCGCCATGGATTTAGGCGTCACCTGATGGCCCACCGTGGCGAGAAACCCCACAAAATTGATAAATTGTGTACAACTCTAATTTGACGGTCTAATAAAAATCTTGTAATTCAATAATGCTGGAAACAAAATTTTATTAAAAAGGAGTACTTGTATGTAGTAATTATCAGATTCGATCCAGAACTAAATTTCAGAAACTTGTTCAAATTAGAAAAAATAATAGTTTTTTTTTATTAAATTTTAATCAAAATCGATACATTATGAGTATATCCCATTTGATACTCTATTTATCCAAAGGTTTAACGTTGGAAAATAAAATTTTATGAATAAACTGTCCTTAAACTATATAATTATCAGATCCAAAATGGAATCAAATTTCAGAAACTTGTCAAATTTGAAAACAAATAATTAGTGTCTTTCAAATTTTAATCAAAATTGATAAAATAAGCATAAACCCGATTTAACGCTGTAGTTTTTTATGGTTCGTAATTCTTTTACGTTGGAAAACAAAATTTTATGAATAAACAATCCTTAAAGTAATTATCAGATCGTAAATGGAATGAAACTTCGGAAACTTGTTCAAATTAAAGAATAACAAATTGACCTTTAAATTGAAATAAAATTGATAAATTCATACAAACTGATAAATTATGTACAGTCCATATTTTAAAATAAACCTGTCATAGTTTTTTTAACTTGTAATTTTTTAACATTGGAAAGCAAAATTTTATGAATAAACAGTCCTTAAGTATCATCAGAAATTGAATCAAATTTCATAAACTTGTCCAAATTTCCAAAACAATTTATTTGTTCTTTCATATTTTGACCAAAAGTGATAAAATAAGCACAAACCAAATTTGATTCCTCTGTAGTTTTTAAAGTTTGTAATTATTTAACGTTGGAAACCAAAATTTTATGAGTAAACAGTTCAAAAGTGAATATTAGATACATCAGTTTTGAGGGAAAATATGAGAGACTTGTAAAAATAATCATATTTCTTTCAAATTCATGCCTGTTCAGAAAAACTTTTTTTCATTCAAAGTTCAGTCGTCCCGGTTTCTGACTGAAGACTTCATTCACATTCAGTCATTTGCTTTCAAACTCATTTCATTTCACTTCACTTCATCTGACTTCATTTCTTACTTCGCCCATGTATTAAACATAGGGTGAAGATGAAATAAGTGAGAAATCCTTTCATTAACAGTCATTCATCTGATATGACTGAATCTTTCACTCATTTTCATTCAAATCACAGGAAATTCGTTTTCATTCACCATCATAATTAGTCATAATGAATGATGGCGAACAGGTTTGTTCAAATTTTGATCAAAATTGATAAAAATACTTACCCCATTTGATCCCCTGACCGACGGGACATCCGCCATGCAACGATAACGGGTCAGGCTGCCCATTTCTCTTGAGGTTATACCAAAATGCGGCCGATCCTCGGACCGCCGGAGTAGCCACGCCGACGCGAGGAAACGCTGTCCCGCCACCCATCGTCACGTTGGAGAACTAAGGAAACCGTATTTTCTTCATAAATAAATTTCAAACTCGGTAATAAATTTGAAATTCCAGGCTATACGGAAACTCAAATGGTATCGATTTGGTAAAACCTTTGTTCCGTTAAATTTCATTTCATTAGTTGATAATAAAATTAGCAATCACTATTTTGAAATGACAAGTTTTTTACCGGTCTGTAGTCACAAAAAAGTTGTTACCAAATTTTTTACAGTGGAAATTCTTACGTAAAACATGACCGTTGCAATTCTGTCGCCCCGAATTAATTCTTTTTCTGGGATAAATGGCAGATGCTGAAATTAAAAAAAAATATTTTTGTAAAAATTTATTAATTTGGGGAACTCTGCAAATATGTAGATGGATCGATTTGAAGGGTATTTTATTTTGACCACTGAAATGATCTCCATGCCATAAATTGAACAGAGGGCGGATATGTATTTAAGAAAAATTTGTGAAACATATATGTCACGTATATATGTAGAATTTTTAAAAAATTCGTACTTTTGAAATTCATACTCTTGAGTTTATGGGTCCAATTAGCAAGAAAAAGTGTCTTATATCGTTGAAATATTTACAAAATATATGATTTTTTGTTAGGTATGAAAAAGATTTAAATGTTTTTCAGATAATACCGGACATGTTTATGTCTTAAAACCTGGAAATTATGTAAAAATATTTTAAAATTTTCGTAACCTATAAAAGTTAAGAGACAAAGTTCGATCGTCGGAGGTCAACAAATTTAAAAAAAACTGAAAATAAATACATATCCGCCCTCTGTTTATGACCCCAGAACGTGTTTCAAATCGGTGACGTATTTTTTTCAGGGTCCAATATGTAAATTTGTTTTTTCTAACCGCCTCGTTAAACAGGAGGTCAAAATGTTGTTGGTAATGTCCCCCGATTGCGCCATAGCTGGAAAGTTGCAATTCCTCCGCGTTGGATCCCGCCTGGGCGTTCAATCCCGTCAGATCTCCAATTATTGCAGGGATTCTCCTAACAAAATGGAATTTAATTGATCGAATTAATCAATAATTTGTAGCATAAAATTGGATTAACTTTAAAATTTGCAAAGCCTGCCAAAAATTGTATTCCTAAAATTTGAGAAAATAAAATTTAAAATAAAATTTTGAAAAGGTTTGACGCCAAAGGTTGCAATTTTGAAAATATTTCAAAACTAATTTCTTAACTTTTAGATAGGGTCCAAGGACATAGAAAGTTTCTTGCGAGTTTGTTAGCGTCGCAAAGTTCGTAAATTTTACAAATTCTTAATTTATGATTTTCAAATTAAAGAAAAATTTCGTACACGTTTAGACAGTTTGCTAAATAAGCTTGGAAGCTAATCTCGTTTTATCAACAGTATTGTACGCAATTCGCGAAAGTTAAAATTTGCAAGTCGAAGATTGCATTTTTGTAATTATTTTAAGCCATTTTCTTAATTTTAGTAAAGGTCTTTTTAATTAACACAATTAACTTTTTGCAAATTCAAATTAAACAAAAATTTTGTATACGTTAAGACGGCTTATTTAAAAATTGCATTTAAGTAACTCGAAATAAGCTTCGAAGTTCAATCTAGCATTATCATTAGTATTTTGCAAAATTCGCATATTAAATTTTGCACATAAAATTTTGCAATATTCCACAACGAATTTTCTGTTGCATCTAAAATATTAAAAATTAACGTACTTAACTTTCTCATCTGTGGGTTCGTCGTAAAGCCACGTGACTTGGGAAGTTCTCACGTCACTCTTCACATCTCTGTCGTCACGCGAGCCTAAAACTCGGCCGCGGGAAAGCGTGGCGGCATTTCGAGTTAAAATATGGTGGATCGTGGTGTTTCGAACAATGTCGTAAAATTGGAGGATTTTTGGTTTAATTGAGTGCACCTCGACCCCCACGGGGGACAGGAAGGTGAGAGGAGTGTCGGATTTGTAGTAGCAGAAGAGCTGGCGACGAATTTCGAGAGGCTGTAAGGAGCGAAATATTGTGCATTTTTTTGGAGGGGGGGGCATTAAAATTGAAATATTTTGAATTTTTTGGGGAATTTAAATTTAAATATTTTGAATTTTGGAGGAATTTAGACTAAAATGTTTTGAATTTCGGGGTGAATTTAAATTGAAATATTTTGAATTTTTTGGCGAATTTAAATTGGAATATTTTGAATTTTGGAGGAATTTAGACTAAAATATTTTGAACTTTGGGGTGAATTTAAATAGAAATATTTTTAATTTTTGTGAGAATCTAAATTGAAATATTTTAAACTTAAAGGATAATTTAAATCGAAATATTTTGAACTTTGGGGAGAATTTAAGTTGAAATTCTTATAAATTTTTCTATTCCCTCACCAAAAGGTTTTTCCCGCCGCAAATTGCCTGATAGTTCCAGGCATCCATAAAACTCTCGGTTTCCCTCCCAACGACCAAGTTGTCCGGAACATAATACAAATTATGGCTCGGGACGATTAACGTGGAAACATTGGGGCTCAAAGGGTGTGAGAAATAGGCGTATTTGTTCATCGCATCTTCCTTCGATGTCATCCCTTCGTTGTGCTAAAAAAAATTGTAAAAAATAGAAATTTTATCACGATTTTTACTGCTAACGCGATCAGAGAGGGGTTATTTCCAAATTTTTTGTTTCATGACGATCAACCCTTTGAAAACAGAAATTTCAGAATACTTAAATAATATTTTCATATTTCACATATTTTTACAATTAAAATAAGTTAATGCATATTTTCACATATTTCTAGGTATTAACATATGCAAGTACACTCTTAGAAATGGGGTTACGATTATAACCAAAAAGGAAACGTATGTGACTCTACCGCCGTGGTTATAAATTTGCCATCAACTGGTTATAAATTTATTAGCTCTGGTGACAATTTAATACCAAGCCGGTGAAGCTTCATAATTAGTCGGTGACAATTGCAACCACTCGATGACAAATTTATAAAACCACGGCGGTAGAGTCACATGCATTTACTTTTTGGTTATAATCGTAACCCTATTTTTAACAGTGTATTTAGAAATATTTCCGCTATATATTATTTAGAAAATAATAAATCTCTTACATATTTTTCTTAAAAAATGAATACACACTCTCAATAATTTTTTGATGATATTGTCACCGGCGGAGGTACTAAGCAATTCTACCGCTTGGGTAACAATTTATCACCGAAGGGTAACATATATACAGAGGCTAAATCCTGCTCAGCCCCGAATGTCAACGCTCAGGTAATACAAATATTACCGATACCGGAGGAAATTTCTTACCATCAAAAGACAATTTATTAGTGTTACCACGTGGTAGAATAGAATTGCATAGTATCTCCGCCGGTAACAATTATGTCAAAAATTTTGGAGGGTGTATTTTGTAAATGTTTTAACGATGTGAGACGAAATCTCTCTTGAAATCTTACTTTGAGCTTGCTAAAAAGCCAGCAACAAGAACGAATAACCTATTATTAGTATTTTGATGCAATAATTTATCTTTATTTTATAATTTGGCGTTAATATCATACCTGTGCAAACAAAGTTTTTTCATTCAAAATTCATTCATCCCGATTTCTGACTGAAGATTTTCATTCACACTCAGTCATTTTTGTTCAAATTAATTTCATTTCACTTCATCTAACTTCATTTCTTATTTCGCCCCATGTATGTATTAGGCATAGGGTGATAAATGAAAGGAATGAAAATTCTTTCATTCACAGTCACTCATTTGAAATGACTGACTTTTTCACTCATTTTCATTCAAATCACAGGAAATTCATTTCCATTCACCATCATAATCATTCACATGAATGAAAGTGAAAAGGTATGGTTCATAGGAATGAAATTTATTTTGTCATCTGAGAATTTCATACTATTAGATTCGGAACCTCTGATGTGCTATTGTGAATTCTCGAAGTAAACGGGACAGATTTGATTTGAATTTCAGCCCGCCTCCAATGTTAATCAAGTGGGCACGTGATTTTGGCGCGTAGAAATTCTGTCCCGTTTACTTCCATGCACCGCAATACATTTTGCAAAATTAGGCAAATTTTTGTTTTAATGTAAAGCAAACGACGCAACATTTTGCAGACGAAACAATATTTGTGCAAAAATTAATTTGGCACGATTTCATTAGATAAAGGACAATGATTTCTGTAATTTTCACACCCCATGATTTATTCGCGAATTGTGATTTCTGTTTTCACCAAAAATTTGGACACACAATGCGATGGTTTGAAGTGTAACCCTCCGATTTGGTTGAAATTTTGAAATTATGTGGTCCATGTCAACACAACCAACGTTTCTTCAGGCAGTTTGTGCGATGGTCAGAATTTGCCAAAATATTTGAAGTCAAAGTTTAAAAATGGGCGATTTTTAGCAGGCGGAGGAAGCAAACTCAACTTTCATTCTCTTCCCGTGAAAAAAAATTGCATATTTTTTTCACTTTTTCCTCAAATAATTTGGCAAATTTTGACCATCGCACAAACTGCCTCAAGAAACGTGGGTTGTATTGACATGGATCACGTAATTTCAAAATTTCAACCAAATCGGAGGGTTACACTTTACACAATCGCATTGTGAGTAGATTTGTAATTAAAAAACAGATCTGTAGTTTGGAGTGAAATAGGTCTACTACTTTTGCGGCTTTCTAATAATTGACTTTTCAATCAAGAGGTGTAATTTGTTATTTATGAACTTTATTTACTTGGTAAACCAGGTTATCAAATCTGATAGATATGTAGAAGATATGTAGTTTACAAATAATATTTCCCTGTAATTTATTTCGACGTTAGGATCTTGCACATTAATATTTTGGTAAATTTTTTGCTTTATTAATTAGCTTGGAAGGCTTCACTTCTAAACTTTTTGAAAATTCTAAATACATAAATGTGGGGATGCTAATTAAAAAAAAACATTGTTTGTCAATATGTCTTTTAAAAAATATGGATGTGTCGCATTTCTTAAAATTCATTCGATTTTTTGACGATTTTTATTTTGCTTTTATGACTATTCCTATTTTTCAGGAAACAGATAAAACTATGCTAAAATTTTCTATGTGATTTTACGATAGAAATCTGCAAAACTATTTGTTTGTACTTTTAGATTGTAGGAATTTTTATTTTAAATATTGTAACAAATTAATAACTATATTTTTATTAAAACGGGTCAAGGTTTCCTTTCCCTCGATTTCAGGGTATTCCGACCCAGGGTTTTAATGGGTTGGGTTTTTTTGGTTTTAATGGGTTTTAATGGGTTGTTAATGAATAAAACCCAACGGGTTTTACCATGTTAAATGGGTTTTATTTGGGTTTTAATGGGTTTTATTTGGGTATTAATGGGTTTTATTAGGGTTTTAATGGGTTTTAACTGTGTTTTAGATTATAACTATATTCTAAAAGTTGAGCACATCTGTTATACGTTAGACGAAGGTATTTGACGGCAGCTAAACAGTTTAGTTTATTAGTACCATAAGTTTTGAAAACCAGGAATAAATCAGCAAATGCATACCTCCCCTTACCACCATAGGTTTCAAGTGATACAAAAAATTAATTTCGGAAAGGAGAATGTGTAACTGGTCATACATAATTTAATACTTTTTGCGACCATAATTAATACGTTTTTCCCAAATACTTCTTCTTTTCTCGATAGTATCGAGTCAATACACTATTTCACTGGTACGAATCAATTAAAAAAAATATTATAGTATTTTGTTTAAATTTGCAAAGTTTTTTAAAATTTAAAATTTCAAAGCGATCTTAATTATCACCTCTGGAAAAATCGAGTACTTGTGGACAGCGAAATACTTTATGATGAGCAAAAGATGTATATCTGTAAAAAGCACTTATTATACTTTCGACCATAATACGTGATTCGGTTCAATTCCGTTGTTCATAAGTACTTGATTCTTTCCAGAATTGATACTGCACATTAAGATCGTTTTGAAACACTCTTTGAAACAATAAATTTTAAAAAACATTTAAACAACTTGGATTTCATTATAATGAGAGGAAGTATTCCGTAAAAAGGTAATACTTATGGTCGCATAAGTATTAAACTATGATCAGTTAAATAGGATCCCTTCACAACGGATACAAATTCTAACTTGGACCACGAGGATTTGCATATAACTAGAATTGGATCGCAATGTTGTGAAAATTTCTTGTTCAGTGTATTACTTATGTAAAGCCTAATAAAACCCAATAAAACCCATAAAACCCAATAAAACCCATTAAAACCCAAAAAAACCCATTAAAACCCATTAAAACCCCTGGGTCGTTACTTTTTGATTAAAACCCTGGGTTTTTCCGAACCCTGGTCGATTTGTAGCAAAATCAATTTTTTCCCTATATTTCTTTCTTAAGTTTCTAAAAAACCATAGGCCTTTTTACTTTAAAGGTTTTAATTCTAATTTGTTTTACATTTTTTGACAATTCTAAACACAAAAGTATGCTGATTATCCCGTTATTTTTTACACGGGGTAGTTGCACTCGAAGCACGAAAAGAAATGTGAGTAAAAAAGGTGTCAAAATATTTTGTAACACCGTTTATGAAGTTTGAATGAATAAATATTTTTCGAACAGGTATGCAAAAGGGCTGGGTTTGGAAAAAAGGGATAAAAAAGGTGTCAAAATATTTTGAAATACCTTTGGCACAGTGGTTAAGAGGACTTCTTCGGCCATATTTAGTGTGAGTGAGGTCTCGTCGGCGGGGTCATAATTTTGGAGAAGGGTTTTCCTCGCGGTGTCCAACCATTGGAGGCCGACGGCATAAAAACCCATCGCCAACGCCTTGACGCCAACGTAATGCTGGTCGAACGCGGAGGTCAGGCCGACTCCGGGGACGCCAAAGTTGCCAGAGACAAACTAGAGGGAAAAAATAATATTCACGCTAAACTTTGTAAAGTGTGTAAATTTTATTAAATTACAAATTGGTATAAACTTGTGAGATATCTTGCAAAACGGGAAAGCAATTCGGGGCAAAAAATATTCACGTCAAACTTTGACATTTCAATTTTTGAAAACTTTGTAAACTCTACAAATTGCTGTGTACTTACTGGCCAGCTAAAACAATTATAAATCAATTAGACGAAATAATATGCACGTTAAACTTTGTAAACTGTGTGAATTTTTTTAAGTTACAAATTTTTATAAATTTATAAGGGAGCTAAATTAACTAGAGATCAAATAGGGGACAAATATTCACGTTTAATTTTGTAAACTTTGTTAAGTTACGGATAGTTATAATTTTACGAGGCACCTACACTCAAAATAAGGTAGTAATGAATCATTACCATGCGGAATGACTATGTGGCTCTACCACGTCGATTACGATTTGTCGTAGAAATGGTAATAATAAGTTCAGGGAAATTCAAATTTAATAAATAATGGTATTCACTTCCTTAATATTTGGTAATGAATTTGAATTTCCCTGAACTTATTATTACCATTTCTACGACAAATCGTAATCGACGTGGTAGAGCCACATAGTCATTCCGCATGGTAATGATTCATTACTACCTTATTTTGAGTGTAGCAAGCTACCATACCGATTAATTAGGGGAAGACACATTTTTAAACTTTTCATAATCAAATTTACATAATCAAACTTTTTAAAATGTGCGAATTTTGTAAAATTGCAAATTTCCACAGATAAATTTACGATGCAGCTGACAAGTTACTTGATATAAATTGGTTAAAATTTGCTAACAAATTATACTGCAAACTTTCGTTACAATGTAAATAATCTGTTACCGAAAAGCACAAGTATATGACTCTTCCAAAGTGGTAATGATAAGTTGTACCGTGTGGTAATAGCTTGGTAATAAAGTTTTAGCATCATGGTAACAAATTTTACTACTTGGTAAAATATTATTACCAAATTTATTACCGAGAATTCATTACCTGCGTGACTTTACGGGATTATTAAGAGTGATAAACAAAAATTATAAACTGCAAAATCTTGTTAGCTATTTTTCACCGCCGTAAAACGAAATTAAAAAAAATGTTAATTTATTTTAAATAACTTTAAAGGTTGAATAATGGATGAGGTAAAAGGTTAAATTAATTTTTAAAAATACTAATTCAGAAATCGTGCTTTAACTTTTTATTTTTAATTTAAACAACGTGTTTACATTTTTTATTGCGAAAACTTGACGTGACAGGCAGATTAAAATGAATACAAATTCAGGAACTTGGAAGATTCTTTTTGAATTGTTGTTCGGTTGAAGATGAATTTAAAAAAATTATATTTCAAAAATTTGAGCATGTGTTTTGAGCATGTATTTCCCTTTTATACTTAAATTACGTCCATTTCAAATTCAAAATTTGCACATATGTACCTGTTCAAAAAAACGTTTCTCATTCAAAGTTCAGTCATCCCGGTTTTTGACTGAAGATTTTCATTCACACTCACTGCTTTCAAACTTATTTCATTTCACATCATCAAACTTCATTTCTTACTTCGCCCCATGTATTAAGCATGGGGTGAAAAATGAAATGAGTCAGAAATCCTTTCATTCACAGTCATTCATCTGAAATCATGGAATATCTCACTCATTTTCATTCGAATTACGGGAAATTCATTTTCTTCCTCTATCATAATCAGTCACATGAATGAAAGTGAACAGGTATGAATTTGCATAAAAATTTTACGGGGTTATACAAGGTTTGCAAAAACTTGAAGTGACAGACGGACTAATACGAGTAAAAATTGGATTTAATTACCTGGTCGATGGAGATTCCGTAGGTCGACTGAATTCGGAGAATCCCGTCCACCGCCCCATCGACATCTTCCGAATTCGGAATTCTTATCTTGTCAAACATGTCATCCATCAAGGTCACGAAATCTGGGGAATATTCAAATTTCGTTAATTTATCCTATAAAAAACATTTAAAAAAATAAGACTTTAATTAATTAATAAGTTTCCCAAATGTTTCAAATAATTTTACCTAATAATTTGCATTATTTTTTTAGGCTGCTTAACCTATTTTTAATATGTTAGAAATTATTGTCGCAAAGAATTCAATACTTCCAATTCCTGTCCCAATTCGAAACAAATCTGATTTTCGTAATTTTAGAGAAATTATTTAACACATTTGGTCAAATATCGGCTCGGAAGTTTTACAATTTGGAAATTTTACGAATTTATAGTTTTGCCTCAAGTTTTTTTACCCTTTTGAAAGTATACAAATACAATTATCAATTAATCTCGTAAGGAATTAACCAGTTTCAATTTCCGTAAGAAAAAAATCGGTTTAGTCGATAGTTTAGGAAATCTTTCATAAGATTTGTACAAAAAATTTAAAATTTCATAATTCCATATTTTCATATTTCTTTTTCGCAAATGTGACAAATCAAATTAATCGAAAACTTTAGGAAAAATTTTCCAAATTTTATGATGTTTGCCTGCTTCAATTTCCGTTAAAAATCAATTTAGTATGCACATAAATATTTAGGTAAATTTTTCATAGAGTTCGGTTTTACTTCGTCGCAAACCAGAAAAATCAAATTTTTTAAACCTGTTTCAATTTCCGTTTCAAAATCCATTAAAAGTTCGACCAATTGTTTGCCAATTCTGCGAATTATTCTGAACGCGGCGATCGGATTGCTGACCGTGTATCGTTGCAAATCTGTCAATTCCGCGTGTTCCTGGAAGGTTGGGACGCGTTTTTTGTCCCAGTGACGCGCCCTCGACTTCCGGATGGATTTGTGCAGTTGTGGGTAATTCTTTTCCATCTGAGGGGAAACCAGGCTGGATTCGTATTCTTGCAAATATCTGGAAATTTCGAAAGTCGATTATTTTTAGGAAATTCTGTTTTTTTTTTTACTTTTGGCTCGAATACATACACTGCAAAAAATATCGTAAAATAATAAAATCAATGTGATGAATTAAAATGTTGTTAAAAATTGTTTAAATTTTATGCCAAACAAAGTTGGAAAATCACAAAATTGATGGAAAACCCAGATTTTTCAGTGTCTCATAATTGTTTCAAGTGTCTCATTAGTCCCCAATCATGATTGGGGTAGGGACTTCTCGATAATTAAAGATTGAAATTGAAGGCAAAATTAATAAGCATTTAACAACAAAATAATTAAATTGTTTCTATTTTTGTAAAACAAGTCGAACGTTCATTATTACTCGTGTAAAAAACAAGATTATCAAAATATCAAAATCTTTAATGATCAAATATGCATACCAATTTTAAATTATATTAATAATAAAAAATTTATAGTAAAGTGTAAGTTTAAAATTAAATCATAATTTCAGGAAAACCTTCAAAACGCGCATATTTCACAATTGAGTTGCTGTTGTGCTCGGTCGATCCAACTAACCGTCGAATCCGTAACACCTATGAATATGCCTGCAGATCTGGTTATTGAGCTCGATAAGGGCACTTTAACTTTAATTAACTTGGATGCCTAGATGTGCCCTTTTAACTTAGAACTTTAGTCCCAACAATTTCACTTTATTTATAATGTCGGCGAGTCAATAAAGAACTTGAATACTGTAATTAGTTATAGCAACTTTAATTAATTAGGACTTTATTTAATTAATTCTTCGCACGACCACAAATTCCAACTTGACTTCTTACAATACTTTTCTTATACTAACTTAAAAAATACGTAGTTCTTGACTACCAAAACCATCGCGCCCCTTATCTTCTCATTCTCCCACTTACACTTACTCATTATCCGAATCCCTCAACCACCTTATAGAAAGGATATTGCCATACAAAGGATATTGCCATACAAAGGATATTGCCATACATAGGATATGGAATGCGTATCTACATAGCACCTACTTAAAAAATACGCTATAAAAATTACTGGATAGGCCAATTCATATCTTTACAATTGATTTTAACTTATCTTCTACTAAGCTATAACTACGAATTGAACATTTCTCCCACCTTCTTTTGGGAGCTGATATATATAACCAAAAGAATTTCAACAAAATTACACTAATTGTTCCACTCTCCATAACGAATGGGTCGTTTCACTGGGCGTCCCACTCGAGTTTTTATTGGAACCTCGTCGTCTTGAACACTTATGACGGCATCCTTCTTGCTGGTTGGCACGTCCGAAACTTTCTGCATCTCCAAGGGGTACAGACGCTGCAGGGGTCGAGTCAAAATAGTGGTACTGAAATTCTGTCCTCGGGGATTCTTGCAAATCTTGACTTCCGCAACTCGAATCTTTCCATCTTTTCCGGGGAACAGCTTCATAATCTTTCCTAGCGGCCACTCAAATCTCTTCTTGTTTTCTGACCCGACAAGAACAATGTCACCAACTTGAGGTGGTCTTGACTTTGTTTCACTCTTCTTTTGAACTAGAATTCCCAAATATTCTTTTCTGAATCGGGCTTGGAGTCCTTCTTTAATCGCTTGCATTTTGTTGTAGGATCCACACAATTCATTTGCACCGATTTCTTTTCCCTCTGGGAAGCAGGCGATAGGGAGGTCGCGCATGAACATATTTGGCGTAAGCGCGATTAAGTCGTCTCCATCCTCCGTTAACGCCGTCAGAGGTCGATCATTTATGGTGCAGGATACGGCCGCGAGACATGTCCTCATTTCGTCGAATGACAACTTCGCCGTCCCTAACATCTTCCTTAATATTTCCTTGACGGACCTTACGAGACGCTCGAACCACCCACCCCACCATGGCGATGCAGGTGGATTGAAAGTCCAGGTTATCTGTTTGACCTGCAACTCATCTTCCATTCTTGACCAATCAATCATCTTCATCAGGTTAACTGCGCCCACAAAGTTCGTACCATTATCGCTAAAAATCCTCTTCGGCCGACCGATGGTGGATACAAACCGTTCCAGGGAGTGGAGGAAAGCTTCACTTGACAAGGACGTGACAATATCCAAATACACACCGCGATAAACTGCGCAAGTGTACAACACGATCCAGGCTTTCTCTCCTCCTCGAAGGATCACCGGTCCGGCAAGGTCAACTCCAGTGATTTGAAATGCAGCAACCGTTTCTATTCTATCTTGAGGTAATGGGGCAGGGTCACTTTCTAAACTCTTTGCTGAATATCTTCGACAGACAGTGCAACTCTGAATTACTCGCCCAACCGTCTTTCTTCCTTGAATGATCCAGTACCGTTCACGCAACTTTCCAAGCACGAATTGTGTTCCAGCATGATTGTAAGCCATATGAATATATTCTATTAGCTGGTGGACTAAGGGATCTTCTTTTGGGAGTAGAATTGGGTGTCGAAAGCCCTCCGTATCTTCTTTATAAAGGAGTCTTGTGTCTACGTGGAGGAGTTCATCATCTCTTCTATCCACTTTCAAATTCTTAATTTCAAATTTCTCTGGATAATGACGCTGTTGAATTTTCCTCACAATGTCCCTCTCACCCTCCCGTAACTCTTTGAATGTTGGGTAGACGGAATACTGTCGGAATTCCTTACTTGTTCTTGCATTATTCACAAACCGACGGACCCATGCTGCGACCTTCACATTTTTCAAATACGATGAGAATCTTGGCACTTGAATCTCAACGGCAGCATGTTCGGTTCGTCTTCTTTCCAAATTAATCTGATCTTCTTCTGGAAGTGGAGCTGACCGTGGCCATTCATCTTCGGCCTTTTTCAACCAGCTCGGTCCCTCCCACCATTTCGACTCCAATAATTCTTGAGGTGAACATCCTCTTGATGGCAGGTCCGCTGGATTGAGTGTTCCTGGAACATGTCTCCACTTACTTCCTCTGGTCAATTCTGCAATTTCTTTGACCCGATTTCCAACAAAAGTTCCCCAATCTGCCTCCCTCTCAATCCATGCTTTGGCAGTGGTCGAATCTGTCCAGTAGTGAATGGGTGTGTCGACGAGACCCAGTGCTTCTTTCACTACGGATGTCAATCTTGATCCAACGAGGCATCCTAATAATTCCAATCTGGGGATCGTAACTCGTTTCTTTTGCTTCTTATCTAGGGGTGCGACTCGACTTTTGGCTGCTAACAGTTGGACTGAGACATCTTTACCATTTGCAACTCTGGCGAAAACGACAGCAGCATATGCACCTTGGCTGGCGTCAGTGAAAGTGTGAATCTGAAGCAATGATGATTCACTTTGGCGTGGTGTTCGAGGGACCGCGTTTCGAGGGATCCGGATCTTGCTTAGGCAGTCAATCTCTGTGAACCAAGTTTCAAATCGGATCCGGTTTTCTTCATCCACTCGTCGTCCCATCCGAGATCTCTGGACCACGCCTCTTGCAACATTAGCTTTGGCAAAAGGAGTGAAGGGCAAGCATATCCGATTGGTTCGAATATCTGAGAAACCACTGATAATACTCTTCTCTTTGTGATCTTGTACTCCTCCGCAACCTCTTTAGGCAATTGACAAAACAATACATCTTCTTTCTTATCCCATTTCAATCCCAGAACAGTGGTGATATAACTTCCTTCAATTAGTTCATCTGCATTAGATTCCCACTGTCTCAGTTCCATCTTCGCATCGGCCATTATTTCAACTGAAGATTCCTTGAACGCCATGTAATCTTCTTTATGGTTGAAGGAGAGGACACAATTGTCTACATATAAGGATTTTCTTATCAACTCAGCCACCTTGATTAATTCTGTGGGTGCTTGACTTAAATGAATATCTAGAACTGCGGCTAGGATGAAAGGACTGCAAGTCATCCCAAATACAACACGGCAGTGTTCGTAAATCTTCAAAATGTTGTAATCTAGATCCTCCCACCATAAGAACCGCTGATACTTGCGATCTTCCTCTGCGACCCCAATCATCTGGAATGCTTTCCTTATGTCCGAGATGACGCCAACTTTCTTCTCCCGAAATCGCAACAAAATTGACGGGATGAGCTCCAACATATTGGGTCCTTTCTCGAGACACTGGTTTAGAGAGGGGAAACTGGCCACTTTACATGAAGCATCAAATACTGGCCTCACGGGAGTGGTCAAACTATCTGGCTTAAAAACTGGACGATGCGGGAGGTAATGCCCTGACGCTGAATTGTTCTCTCGAACCTGATTAATCATCTTCTCTAATTCCCATCCCTTGAAAATGTCAGCATAAACTTGATCCTGTTCTTGATTCTGCAATTTTCTTGTCGCTGACACCAATCTCTTCTCACAAACTGATTTATTGTCGGGGATGGTGAATTTCAAATCATCGTGAATCCAGGGAAGCTTGACCACGTACCTTCCGTCTTCATCTCTGGTAACTTTCTTCTGGAAGGTTTCTTTCACCTGGAGGTCGTTCTCCTCACGTGACACCTTGGTGGCACTCTCTTGGATCCCAATCGTCTCCAGATCCCATAACTGTGAGATGTCACCCGACAAATAACTATGGATGACCATCTCCGTTGCACTTTGATCAACGCTGCAGGTCGGCCCGCAGAGCATCCATCCAAACACAGACTCAATTGCGAACAATCCAAACTTGAGGTCGATTCTTCTTCCTGTCATCAATTGCTCTCGGTAATCGCCACCAATAAGGATGTCGATGTCCGCCCTTTCAAGTGGAGTCTGACAATGATCACTGATAAATATGCTGTCTCTTTGAAGTTGCTGTAGCCACGGTCCAACTCTTGCTCGCGGTGGAATTCCTCCGATTTGTGGCCTTTCCCTGAGCAGTAACTTCCTATTAACTTTCCCGTCGACGCTGACCAATTCCATTTCATGTTTATTATACCGCCGGGGGCTGGTAACGGAGCCATCGATCATCACATTCCGCACCACCTCGTCTCCAACTGGTTTACTCTTGATGCCATTGGAGATGTAGCTGGTCACGTAGCTCT